ACATTCATACATACATTACATACATTCATACATTCATACATACATAAATTCATACATACATACATTCATACATACATACATTTATACATACATACATTCATTCATACATACATACATACATGCATACATGCATGCATTCATACATTCATACATTCATTCATATTTTCATACATACATATATTCATACATACATTCATACATTCATTCATATTTTCATACATACATACATACATACATTCATACATACATTCATACATACATTCATACATACATACATTCATACATACATTCATACATACATACATACATACATGCATACATGCATGCATTCATACATTCATACATTCATTCATACATACATACATTCATACATACATTCATACATACATTCATATATTCATACATACATACATACATTCATACATACATTCATACATACATACATTTATACATACATACATTCATTCATACATACATACATACATGCATACATGCATGCATTCATACATTCATACATTCATTCATATTTTCATACATACATATATTCATACATACATTCATACATTCATTCATATATTCATACATACATACATACATACATTCATACATACATTCATACATACATACATTTATACATACATTCATTCATTCATACATACATACATACATGCATACATGCATGCATTCATACATTCATACATTCATTCATATTTTCATACATACATATATTCATACATACATTCATACATTCATTCATATATTCATACATACATACATACATAAATTCATACATACATACATAAATTCATACATACATTCATACATACATACATACATGCATACATACATACATACATTCATACATACATACATGCATACATACATGCATTCATGCATTCATACATTCATTCATATATTCATACATACATACATACATACATTCATACATACATTCATACATACATACATTTCTACATACATTCATACATACATACATTCATTCATACATACATTCATACATACATACATACATTCATACATTCATACATACATTCATACATTCATTCATACATTCATACATACATACATTCCTACATACATTCATACATTCATACATAAATTCATACATACATTCATACATACATAAATTCATACATACATACATAAATTCATACATACATTCATACATACATAAATTCATACATTCATACATACATACATTCATACATTCATACATACATACATACATTCATACATACATTCATACATACATACATTCATACATACATGCATGCATTCATACATTCATACATTCATTCATACATTCATACATACATTCATACATACATACATTCATACATTCATTCATATATTCATACATACATACATACATACATACATTCATACATACATTCATACATACATTCATACATACATACATTCATACATACATTCATACATACATACATACATACATGCATACATGCATGCATTCATACATTCATACATTCATTCATACATACATACATTCATACATACATTCATACATACATTCATACATACATACATACATTCATACATTCATACATACATTCATACATACATACATTCATACATTCATACATACATACATTCATTCATATATTCATACATACATACATACATTCATACATACATTCATACATACATACATTTATACATACATTCATTCATTCATACATACATACATGCATACATGCATGCATTCATACATTCATACATTCATTCATATTTTCATACATACATATATTCATACATACATTCATACATTCATTCATATATTCATACATTCATACATACATTCATACATACATACATTCATACATTCATTCATATATTCATACATACATACATACATACATACATACATACATACATTCATACATACATTCATACATACATTCATACATACATTCATACATACATACATACATTCATACATACATACATACATACATTCATTCATACATACATACATACATACATCCATTCATACATACATTCATACATACATACATTCATACATACATTCATACATACATTCATACATACATACATACATTCATACATTCATACATACATTCATACATTCATTCATACATTCATACATACATACATTCCTACATACATTCATACATTCATACATAAATTCATACATACATACATTCATACATACATAAATTCATACATACATACATAAATTCATACATACATTCATACATACATAAATTCATACATTCATACATACATACATTCATACATTCATACATACATTTTATTTTATTACTTTTACATATCTATATATACACCATGTAACCAAGTAATATATTTTTTTGCGGGACACTGCCAGGAGCTTCCCACGCTCTGCGGCTCCAGCTCCTCGGGACTCTTCTCCTCAGCCGCGCAGATCGCCTCCTGGGGATCTCAGGTGGCCATCGCCTGTGGCGCAAGTGCCTGGGACCCGACCCGTTTCGGGGACCTCAAAAGCGTGAAAAAAGGCATCAAAACCACAGGATTTTGTTGGGAAAAATCGGATTTTATGGGATTGGTGATTTTTATGGGATATGAGTGGAATTTGAATCGGATTTTAATGGGATGTTGTGGGGTTTTGTGGGAATTTTTGGAGATTAATAATGATTTGCCCATTAGTTGAGTACTTTTTTGGTAATTTTAACCGTTTGCTATGGAAAATCACCATTAGGTAAATCCTCCATCGAACTAAATGGGCCATGTTCAATAACTATGTAACAAATTCACAGAGGGTATGTAATTAATATGAATTCATATCAGATAGTTAACTGATAAATCCTATATTTAATAATCCTGGTACAGGAAAATCAACAAAAAGTATCTAAATTATGATTTTTTGAGTAGATCCATATGTGTATATATATATATATGTTCAGTGATGGAATATGACTTAGTATGATTCAGTTTTTGGCATCAATGGAAATGATTTCAGGTGACAAATGAACATAATTGGCTCGGGAGTGTTAAGCTCTCATCTCCGCAACCCGCACGGCCCTGTTGAACTCAGGGATTGGTCTTTTTCATTCATGAGGTGTCAACAAATATGGGGATTTAACTAACAAGAATGGATAGTTTTTTTGGGGGATAATGGGGCCAAATGGGGATACAAGGGATTATTTGGCAAGACAGAATGAGGAAATTTGGGTGTGTCTAGAAATGAAGTAGTTACCTTCAATTGATGGCATTCAACTTGTAAAACGGAATATAGCCATGAACCAATGGAAGGAAGGGGGGGTCCACATTTTCATACCCAGATTTGCACAGGCATAGCCACAACTGGATCCAAAGGTGAGTCTGTCACTGTGATTGACCGCGTGATTGTCTTCGCCGAAGACTACAGTGTGGTTGCAGGCACGGTTTCAGCAGGTTCACCATTGCGATGTGTTTCCTGTTTTGTGAATTCAAATCAATCCATTCGTAAAGGATAGCCGGAGCGAAAGTCACTCAGCAATATTCCGATCGTGTCAGCCGGATTGAAATTGGAAATCCAACTGAAACCAATTCATACACAATGCCCACGAATCCTTCCCAATTGTCCCAATTTGCCCGTGGAAAAATTGGAAAATCCTTCAGCTCGCCTGTGTGAAGTCGGAGCTCGCCCGACCATCAGGCCGCGAGGTTGCCTTTGTAAAGCTTTGCTCGGCAGCAATGAAGGCGGGGCACCATAGCTTTTCCCCATCAGAAATCGCCAGAAATGACACCAGGATGATTTGGATTGGGCCTATAGGCCAGCCATCCAAACGCAAAACCTTTTTTTCAACGGGCGAACGATTACAGCGAACAAAGGTACATGAGGCTTGAAATCGGTGGGGCGGAAGCCGTGTTTGCTATCTGGATTCCTCACCCTCAGCTTGCAGAAACCTAATCAATAGGTATTTCCTCTACGTTCACTTGAGCTGGGCAGGCACCATCGCGACAATATCAAAGCTTCCAGTTCTATCTACTTTGTGAAGTCTGTGGTATGTGCAGATAGATGGATAGATGGGATGAAATGAGATAAGATGAGATGGATTAGATAGACGCGGATAGACGATAGAGATAGATCAACATTGATAGAGAGGCACTAGAGAGATAGGGACAGACTAGAGAAGTAGAGAGATGGGGAGAGATGCACACATGCTTGTATATAAATTTATACACATATTTATATATATATATATAGAGAGAGAGAGTTACACGCGCACACACACACACACATATATATATATATAGAAGAAAATACTCGATCAACTCCTCACCTTTGCATGAGTATCTATGATGTTGTATCCATTGACTGTAAAGTGTACATGATTGTCATTTGGCGTCAACACGGAATAGACGAATCAATAGGTTATCTTTCAATGATAACATGTTCTTTTATCCTGAAATCCGGGATGAAAACTCAAGACTTGGCCAACGATGTTTGGCTCAAGATGCCCGCATAAAACAGTGCTATCCGACAGTGCTTTCCGGATTTGGCATTGCATTTGGTATCTTGATCATCAACACCTTCGTCTGTAATCAACAGGATTTCTGTTTATTCGACGATTTCTCTGGTTATCAGCCGCATCTCGGCTCTAATCAATTCAACTGTGAGACCATTGAGCTTCCTGGACTACATTGCATTGTGCATTACATCTTGGGGTGTTGCAATCTTTCGTTCGCGCTTTGCGCGTCCAGCACAGCAGAAGCGAGTTTGTGATCTTGCTATAGTTCTTTTGGATCGCAGATTGTGGCTTTGGGTGGGCTGTCGCGTGTATCGCGTGCCACTGTGTTCCTGCATTTGAAGCATAGGAGCTCTTGCACTATAAGTTCCTCGTGGTGTAAAAGATGAAGCGCGACGGGCCAGCCACTCCATTCAAAGTTGATGGGCCGAACTCAACTTGGACCTCATCATCTGATTCACTTGAAAACCCGGTAGGTCAATTAGCTACCATGACTCAAGCTGGCGCTCAGGAGGTGGCCACTATGACTACCCTGGCAAAGCGAGGGCAGAGGTCATCATCGTCCAATGCAGGCGGAGCAGTACAGCAGGGTAGGAGTACACCTACGGGTCAACAGATTCCACCAAGTTTGCATCAGTACAATGCTCAGAATGTTCAACAAAATTTGTTTCAGCAACAGGTCAATCAAGTAGACCCTGAACAGTTGGAGCAGTTGTTGGATTGACTGGTGAGGGCAAGGGTGGAAAACAGTTATCATCAGATGAGGGAGGCCGCACGACAAGAGGTCGAGCACATCAGACAACAAGCCGGAAACAACCAAAAGGCATTGCAAGACCATGTTTTAGAGAGATTGCAACAACTACAGCATGAAAAGCAAACAGTTGAAATGAGAGAACAACAAAACACTGAACAAGCCAAACAATGGTGTGAGCAGATTCAACAGCAAGCGGATGTCCGCATTGCACAGATGGCAGAGAGCAACAGGCAATTGAGACTAGAAATTCATGAGGTTCAGAAGGCTGCAGAAGGCCAGGTGGCCTATGTCGCCCGACAAGCTGAATTGGATCGGGACAGGGCTGTGAAGGAGCTTCAGATGCTTGGAGCGAAATTGGAAGCCGCACATCAGCAGTTGAAGAACTCTGAAAGGGTGGCATCAATGGCTGGTTCAATTAGTGGTTCACCTTGTGTTGGAAACCCTTTTGATCATCCACTTCCACATACACAGTCTGCACAACATACCGAGATCATTTCAGTTGGACCTGGAGCTAGTGAGTGTCGCCAACATCAACCCCTTAGAGGTGATGTTTTGTTCATGCTGCGGTTCACAAAATGTGGTTGGAAGACCATCATGTTGGAGATGTTCTACATTGTTCAGTGCAGTAGTTGCCAACAATGGCGCGGACCAGAATCTCTTGCAGGGAGATCGCATTGGTGCTCCAAGTTTGCCCCTATCAGAGTCGTTCAGGTTCCGAGGAGCTGGAGCTGCGAGCGCGTCTATCGCGCATGCGGCTGCTGGCACTGCCCAGGCATACCCCTTGGTTGGAAGCGCGTCTATCGCTGCGCCAACCGGGATCTTGGCATCAGGGGGGCTTTGGGAGGAGCTGGAGTTGGTAATGGTGGAGCTCCAAGTGGTATTCCTGTTGAAGACTATTGCAACCTTGTGCTAGATGGGCCACAGATTCAAGGTGGACACATTATACCCACTGCCAATGGCACTGCACAGAATGATGTGAAGTCTACCATGGGAGGACACATACCTTCAAATCATGGCGCAGTGATTGATGATAAAGCTTTTCAGCCTCCAACGGATGGCTGGTTATCAGATGGGAAATCTGAAGAGGATGTTTACAAGTTGAAGCGTTTGTGGTCAGTGGTAGTCACTAGATTGCCCAATGATGCAACCTCATGCAGAGAGTGGCGAGCGGCATTCCTGGCGTCGATTTCTAGGATTGACCTTTCAAAGACTGATTTCTTGTCAAATGGGCCACATATGCAATGGAGGGCAGAGGGAAAAGCTTTTAGAAACTCTTTGCAGACATCAGAAGACTTTATTATGCTGAACAAACACATAGCGGCGGAATTGATCAAACCCGAGGCATTGTCTACCAATGTGGAGCTCGCCCACGAGATCACCAGCTGGGTGGAGGGCTGCGCAGCAAGGGCTGAGGGGCCTAAGGGCACTCCGCTCCTGAACCTCATAATGTCGTATTATGAAACGGGTCTGGACAGGGCTGTGGCGTTGGGCCAAATACATCTTTTGAATCTCCAACTGGAAGGGAAGGGGATCAAAGAGTTAGAGGAGTTCGTCAAAAAGGTGAATTACGTGTTGCATGGTTTCAAAACTGCAGATAGCAAAGGACTGAATACCCTGAGACGCATCACTGACAAGGTCAGAGAGTCTAGCCAGAGGTCAAGGAAGAGGTCTTTTGATTGGATTTGGACTCAGATTGCAGAAGAGCTCAGAGAGAAACGCCATGACATGAACTATGAGAATGTTGTCAAGGGACTGCGTGGAACACCCCCTCATCAGTTAGCTTTGCCTGCTACTGGAGAGAAGCAGACTAGAACTTCGAAGCAGAAGAAAACTGCTGCGGTTGCCCAACCTGTTACCCCTGGTCCGGTAACAACTCAAAGCGCAAAGAAGTCTCCCTGTGCACGGCATACTGCAGGCCTTTGCAAATTTGGAGATCGACGCCGTTACCATCATACAGGTGACCCTGGATCAGACGCTGCTAGAAAAACCTACTCAGAGTTCCTGAAAAACAACCCAAAGGGGGGTGAGTCTTCCAAAGACTCTGGCAATCAGCCAGGCAAGGGAAAGAAAGAGAACACCAAGGGCACCAAGGGATACCAAGGGCGGTTCAACAGCCCCAGCAGCTGTGGCTGCAGCGGCGTCCACTGTGACAATCACTGAGGTCGAGGGCAAGCAGGTTCAGAAAGCTTGGCAGTCATTTTGTCAGTTCTGCGACAAGGCCCTTCCTTCGTTGAACGTGTTCTTGAAGTTGTCTGTTCCTATTCTTGCCACATTGATTTCATCAAATCCGCCCACACCGCTTTGGCGGTGAAGGCGTGCTTATTGGGGGGAAACAGCAACACTAAATGCTCAATGACATTTGTTAATATAGCAGTCGCTATATCAGCTTTAGCTGGGGGGGGCCAAAAGCGGTTTCGCACCGAGACCAGAATACGGTGGTGTTTTCGACATTTTTCGAGATTTTTGGGTGTCTGAGCGCAAGAATGTATTGAAATGGAATTTTGGGTCATTTTGGTAGCTTTCCGGCAATGGAAAAACGGCCAAAAATGAAAAAAACATTGTACATAGCAAGATTTTGCAGGGTTTTTGGATGCCAGAGCATTGAAAACACTGCAAAAACAAGTGTTTTGGACTGACGTTATAGCAAAAAACGTGTAAATTACCGTATGCTTGACTGGAAACATTACAAAACACTGTCAAAAGCAATGTTTTGGAAGGATTTACTGCCTTTATGGCAAAAAACGTGTAAATTACCGTCTGTTTGACTGGAAACATTGGAAAAACACTGTCAAAACAATGTTTTGGAAGGATTTCTTATATATATATATATATGTTGGAGTTGGCTACCGGCATTGGAACATGGAAAAATTGAAGAAAACACTGTAAATAGCGGTATTTTCAACGGTTGGGGAGATAAGGGAATTGGAAGCATTGTCGAACATGATGTTTTCGACCGGTTTTATGGCGACAAAAGTGTAAAGTACCGTGCTTTGAAGCGCTTTGAAGGAAACCATTGCAAAAACATGGAAACACATTCAAAGAACACGGGATTTGGGGGACTATCTAGGCGTCGTTGTCTAGCTATTTGAAATTCCGCAGCTTGGAGAGCCTCCAAGGGAGGGAAAGTGAAAATTCCATAGCTTGGGAAGCTGTCACGGCGGGGAAAAGTGAAAATTCCCTAGCTTGGGAAGCCCCCACGGGGGGGAAAAGTGAAAATTCCCTAGCTTGGGGAGCCCCCACGGGGGGGAAAAGTGAAAATTCCCTAGCTTGGGGAGCCCCCACAGGGGAACCCTAGCTTAAGGAGCCCCCACGGGGGGGGAAAGTGAAAATTCCCTAGCTTGGGGAGCCCCCACGGGGGGGGAAAAGTGAAAATTCCCTAGCTTGGGGAGCCCCCACGGGGGGGGAAAGTGAAAATTCTTAGCTTGGGGAGCCCCCACGCAGGAAAACCACCCTTAGCCCCTCTCACGGACCGAAATAAACCTGCGGTGTGGGCGGCCACCCCACGCGAAGCGGGCTGAATACAAATTCCTATGATCAGATTGGAGAAACAACAGCGGCTTCAGTGGTTCATCCTGCAATTCAGAACTTTAAGAAGTATTCCTGGGAGTTCTTAGGGGGCACTGGTGCTGCCCATGACATTGGAAGTCTAAGGGCGCTGCAAGACCAAGGTTTGAGCAGAGACATGTTTGAGCCATGGAAAAAAGCACTGCAGAGCCCCGTGAGGTTTGCAACTGGAGGAAGGCCGCAACTCTCCACTGAAGCATTGCGGGTGTACACCAAGGAACTGGGTGATTTTCATATCCATGGACGCACATTCATTTGGCAGCACGGCCAAAAGCCGTACATTGCCCTTGATCATCGTCGATGTCGTGTATGGTGCCCTTCTGAAAACAGATGGTACGCCAACCGGGTCCAAAGTAACGTTCCAATCTTTGCCATTGACAGTCCATTGAGGCCTGCAAAGGTGCATAAGGATGAACCTAAGTGCACTCAACTTGAACAGCCAGCTGCATGCGCCGATTTGAGCACTGAGGACTCCAAAGCCGTGTTTGTGGATCATGCTTGGAGAGACAGTTTGCTTGCGTATGTCATGATACTGCTGTAGAATGTTTGGACAATTTTGACACCACTGGACATAAAGATCATGACGCTGGTTCACAACTCGCCCCGGTGCGCGATCTTGCAGATGAGTGTCAAGTACCAGATGTTGATGTAAGTGACATTGCAGTTCATCCATTAGCCTATGATGCTATTCAGCGCCGAAGGCAACATCATGCAACATCAAAAGGACAACAGACGGAGAAAGTGGGAGAGATTGAAGAGCGAGAGACCACTGTCTATGACATCAAAAGTATTTGACAGGGGGGCAACTGCCGTCGAAACAATGATGAGTGGTCTCAGAGACTTGTACAATGATTGTGCCACTCAACATGACGAACGTAGATGCAGTTCGTAGTTTTCCGAGAGGAGGGAGAAGAAAATACTCGATCAACTCCTCACACCTTTGCATGAGTATCTATGATGTTGTATCCAATGACTGTAAAGTGTACATGATATGTCATTTGGCGTCAACACGGAATAGACGAATCAATAGGTTATCTTTCAATGATAACATGTTCTTTTATCCTGAAACCCGGGATGAAAACTCAAGACTTGGCCAACGATGTTTGGCTCAAGATGCCCGCATAAAACAGTGCTATCCGACAGTGCTTTCCGGATTTGGCATTGCATTTGGTATCTTGATCATCAACACCGTCGTCTGTAATCAACAGGATTTCTGGTTATTCGATCCCCTCAACTACTTAAGGTCTAGAGTACCCAGGCCTCCAGGCTTCAGGGGCCCAGGGTCTAGAGTACTTCCAGGAGCACTGTAGACCCTCCGCATTTAAGGTACTATAGACCCTTGAGCGTGTCTATGTTGGACATGATATATGGATGTCCCATAATTTTCTGTTTTGAAGATGTAAGGCAGATCTTGTTTTTTCAAAGGTCTGGACAGCTTTTCTGGCAATCATCAGGACAGGTTGGTTTTGCTGACCATTGTAGCTCTAGACCGTTGCCAAGCTAGATTCCCCAGTTCTTACAGAGGTCTGGACAGCGTTTCTGGCAATCATCAGGACAGGTTGGGTTTGCTGACCATTGTAGCTCTAGACCTTTGCCAAGCTAGATTCCCCAGTTCTTACAGAGGTCTGGACAGCGTTTCTGGCACTGATCAACACAGATTGGTTTTTCAGTGACTTAATATAATTTGTAGTATTTTCGAAACATAGTTTATTTTCAATATTCACTTGCATTAAAATAGTTTTTTTGGTAAGTTTGATTTATTTATGAAAATTATATATGTATATGTTGTTTTGATTTTTCATTTTTTCTGATATTTTTTTAAATAAGATTTTCAGGTTCTTATTGATGTTTTCAGATGTTTTTCTGATTTTTTCAGATTTTTTTTTTGAAAATCTGAAATTCTTAGATTTTTTTCTGAAATTTTATTTTTTCTAAAATATCTGTGAAATTTTCAGATTTTTTCTGATTTTTCCTTAAAATTTGAAAATTTCAGATTTTTTCTGAATTTTTCAGATTTTTTCTGAAAATTTGAAATTTTCAGATTTTTTCTGATTTTTTCATATTTTCTGAGAATCTGAAATTTTCAGATTTTTTCTGAATTTTTCAGATTTTTTCTGAAAATCTGATTTTCAGATTTTTTCTGAAAATTTGAAATTTTCAGATTTTTTCTGATTTTTTCATATTTTCTGAAAATCTTAAATTTTCCGATTTTTTATGTTTTTTTTAAAGATTTTTTCTGAAAATCTGAAATTTTCAGAAATTTTCTGAATTTTTCACATTTTTTCTGAAAATCTGGACTTTTCAGAATTTTTCCGATTTTTTCATGTTTTTTCTGGAAATCATTTTTTTTCTGATTTTTTCAGATTTTTTCTGAAAATATTATATTTAATTTAAATTTAAATTTAATTAAAATCTGAAATTTTCAGAATTTTTCTGATTTGCACCATTCCTGAAGTGTGGATGTTCATGGCAAGAGCCCAAGAGCACTGGTGAAAAACGTGTGACAGCAGCGAAGAAAAAAATGAGCGAGAGAAAACATGTTGTTTGAAACATTTTTTTTGGGGTATTTTTGACGCATGGGTAAACGTCTTCAGACCTTCAGCATCTGTAAAGTCGAAGGGTCTAGACCACTGCGCGTGTTTTTCCTGATTTAGCTATGGAACTTTTCTTCAGACCCCGTTTTTAGGGTCTACAGTGTAAGATCCAGGGTCCCAGCCAAGTAGCTGATGGTATGTTATTCGACGATTTCTCTTATATATATATATAAATACTTGGAAAGCCATCATTACTGCTTTAATCGTTTGGAGCCACTTGTGTGAGAGTTGCTACGGCTCTTTACGGTCTCTTTTCAACAAAATGTAGAAAACATACAGTTTTGCTACGGGTAGGTTTGTCTGAGAGCTGCTACGGTTTTTTGCGTTTTTTAAAACAGAATGTCGAAATGGTTTTGCTACGGGTAGGCTTGTTTGAGAGCTGCTGCGGTAGCTACGGGTAGGACTGCAACGTTCCTTTGATTTTACCATTTTTTGGGTCATTGCTGGTAAAAACAATCTTTTACAAAATAAATGATCATTACGGTTTTTTCCCCATAATAACCAGAAAAATTTTGTTTTTTTCTTTCCAGGTGTATATTATATACAAAAAATATGCATATATGTATGTGTGTGTGCTACTATGGCGCTATGTACTATCTGAAGTTTTGTCCCAAGGTGTTTGATGTGGAGTGCACCTGGGTCTCCTCAACCACCTCCGACCTCTCCGCAGTGCCTGGTACCCATGTTCCGCAAGTCGCTTGGCAGCCGCTGGTTGGTTGGGATGATAGTAACCATGGACCAATGGAGCCACCAAAGAGATAGAAAGGATATGAGAAAATGATTTGTTTGGCCCCAGAAAGATAGAAATGTAAATTCCTACTTGAATTGTGATAAATTACTGTTCGATCTTTTCGGGAGTAGTTATCAATGCATCACTGTTCTAGTATGTTCTAGTAACAATAGTGGGAGTTTACTTTTCTACTTTTTGGGGTTTGCTACTATGGGCAAGTCGCTGTGATTTGCCCATGGGTTCCCTCCTTCAATGCTGGGGCATGATATTGGAAATATCATGTCCGAGCTGAAAAGCTGCCAGACATTGCCGTATAATGCCATATATATATATATATATGATGCAAATATGCACTTATATGCATTTATACATAATATTTATTTATACATGGTACCACTACCCCCCGCGACACCTACCTTTCTACTTTTTCTATTGTAATTTAATGTAATTTACAGGGTTTCAGCTTATATGTTGGACCTTCCAAAAAAAAATCGAAAAAGTAGACAAAGTATAAAGAGATACAAAAAGATTGCAGACCCAATACCCCTTTCCTGTCACGTTTGGATGTTGGGGTCTGCAATCTTACTTGTGGTTCCATTTTTGTTTTTTTTTTTTGACAGTGGTTTATTTTATTACTTATTGTGTTCCTTACTGTGTTCTTTGCTTCTTTACTATTTGTCCTCTTTTGGTTACGTTTCCCTGGTTAAAACTTGGTGCCGGCGCCTCTAAGTGGCCCTGCGTTTGTGAATGCTTCGGATCTGTGAACGTTTTGAGAATCATCAAAAACTGGTGGTTTTGAAGGATTTCATTTGAAATCGATGTTAGAAAAACTGAAAGGGTTTGTCCAGAAGGTGGTCTTCGGCAACCCTTCCAGCACTTCGCACATTTGTTTACGTCTTTCTGGCGGGTCAAATTTTTTTGTTTGCCATATTTCGTCATATTTCCATAGCGTAGCGTGGTGTTGTAGTAGATATGGAAGAGAAGTTCTACTGACGACTCTAGAGACGTTCTTTCGAAGATATGGAAGTGCAAGAGACTTCTTAGAACATAGCAAATATATATATATATATAATCTAGCATAAAAAAGATGCACAAGTGCAAGAGAAGTTAACGTAGCAAGCAAGAAAGTCTCCGACGTAATTAACAGCAAAAGCGTGTGCAAGTATAAGGACGTTGTTGCCCCAACATGAAGCAATAACAAAAAGCATACGCCGACAGAACAATAAAGGCGGTGAAGATCGGTGAAGTAAAAAGTGCACGAACGCAGGGCCTCTTACAGGTGCCGCCACCCAAAACTTGGACCTTCCAGAAAATGCCGAAAAAGAGAAACAAAAAAGTCAGATTGCACACCCAATACCCTTTTCCTGTCACGTTTGGATGTTGGGTTCTGCAATCTTACTTTGTTTACTGTTTCTTTTTCAAACGTTTTCAAAACTAGTTGTTATTTGTCCCTTTCTTTTCCCAAGACGAAATCGCGAATCTTAAAACCACTTAAGCAATCCTTCACTTTAAATCATTGAAGACAGTACGTAAAATTCTTCAAAAACTACTCCAAGATCATTCAAACTAAGCCACAATTCGTTTAAAAGCGTTCAAAATCTATCTTAAAATCAGTTGATATCTACTGAAATGGCCTAAAAATGCTCTAAAGCCTGCATCAAATCATTGAACTTCTACGTAAAATTCTTCAAACGTTGGTTTAAAATCTAAAAATCTTTTCCCAAGTGCTCACAAATAAAAAAATACTTCAAAAATTGTTAAAGTCGTAAAACCACTGCAGATCTACTTCAAATCCGTCAAAATCTACTTAATATATCTTAAACGCATTTATATAATATCTATTCGAAACGCTTCAAAACCCTTTTAGATCACGCAAATTCCTATTTAAAATCTACTTAATTAAGATCCGTCAAATTTGATTCTTTCATCTATTTGAAGCTAATTCAAAACCATTCAACATCTTCTTAAAAAGAATTCTACCTACAATCGTTTCAAATCAGCTTGAAACCTTTCATCATCCGTAGATTTTGAATGATTTCAAAGTAGTTGTTCAAGGAGTTTACGTAGACTTAATGGTTTCAAGAGAATTTAGTCATTTTAAGTATTTAATGAAATAAAGCACCACGAAGCCCTACCTTAAGAGTGCTTTCGAATACTAATTTAGTATTGTATCCTTTCTTTTTCAAAAACAATAGTTAATCACTATGAAGAAGAATTAAACAGAATTAAGCACTATTAAGCAATATTTTAAAGATGCCTTCGAACACTAATTTAGCAGCATGTTTTGTTTACACAATTTTAAGCGCTTTTGAGCAGAATTAAGCACTATTAAGCACTATTTTGAAAGGTGCGGTTGTTTCCTTTTTTCTCATTTTTTTAGCACTAAGCAGAATCAATAAGATTTTCAATATATTCGAGTCATGCTTTTTGAATCGTGTTTGATGAGATTATGAGTGACCGCTTTACATATATAGTAAGAAGATTGCAAGTAGATTTTAGTTGATTTTAGAACTATCCGCAGCACGTGTGCTACGCCCCACAGGTATTCCACTATAAATGTTCACACGGTTTTTTCAGGGTTTACGTAGGGTTTCTTTAGTTGTTTTTCTTTTTTTCGAGTTAGTTTCTTTAGGGTTTTTCTAGATGTGTTTATGGTTTATGTAAAAAGTGACGAAAAACAGTTTTGGGGGACAGCAGAGGTTCACCGCAGAAAGATGTGTCATATTGTGTCATTAATTTTGAAAAAATGAAGTAGGTTGTAAGTGATTCTAGTTTGATTCTAAATGTGGTTCCAGTAGAATTTGAAGTTTTAAAAAAAGTTGTTAAGTGGATGTTCAAGAACTTAACATATATTTTGTGTGATTTCAGGTAGGTTTTGAAAAAATTGAATTAGAATTCATGTTGCACACTGGTTTCAAAGTCTGTAATTAATTATCATGTTCCAAAAGTCTGTTGAGGAGGTCCTGGTGGTGTATATATGTATATATGCCCACCTCTCCTGGAAAGGTAGGTCGGGGTGGGTAGCATATATATATATATAGATATATATATATATATGTATATATATATATCATATATCACATATGGCTCTGATGTCCGAACCTTGACACCATGATCCTCCATATGTTTGCCCGTGATCACCTGGTCATCGCAGCACCGCCTGGCCAAGGTGACAATGGTCGGGCCGTATGAAGGCCTGTTGTTGGCCGAAGCCGACACTTGGTTTCAACACCTCTCCTCAACTCTTCAGCTGCTGGCATTGGGAAAAAAGGATCCCCCATTCGTAAGTGGTGAAGAATAGGTTGATAATCCTGGTTAAGTCCGCCAACTAGGCTTATCCCATGTTATCCCATGGTATCCCATTTAATCAGTTGGTTAGAGCAACATCAGACCCTAAGGAGATCAAGGACAACGGCCTGAAGTTGCCCGGATTCGACCAGCTCACCTACTTGGACACCGTGCGTCGCCCCCATGGTACCGGCGTGCGGCGCTTGGGACGTGTGGCGGATGAGGACATCATCGACAAGGCCGTGGAGGAAGCAGATAAGAAGTGGGATCCTGAGAATCATCCCAGCAGCTTGGTGAAGCCGCTGAAATCAAGTGACGAACATGTTGAGTGATTCATCAAATTCATGTATTTCCCCATGAAAATTTAGCATTTGTTTCACATGGGGACTGATATTGACTGATGTTGATTGATGAATTATTAAGGTGGGAAACCTAATAAACCTACCATTTGGGGATGGTTTCTACGATCCATTTATGGTGGTTTAGGGGATGGCTTATTGTTGGGTTTGCCACGTTTATCATAAGTTTCCTGATTCCAATTTGATACTTTTCACGGTTTGTCAGATGGGTTTGTCAGCAAAAGGGGTATTTACACCCAATAGATTGTCATTTTGAATTTATAGGGAAATTCACCAGTGGATGCAATGGGGTACCCTATGTTCAGACAAGCCCAGGTGTGAAGAACACGCGCAGACCATGGCAAAACCCAACTGTTGGAAGGATTTTCTAAGGTTAGGTACTGATGGCTTTATGTATGGCCTTTTCTCAAAACCATAAGGGGTTGCATACCCCACATAAAAGCATATGTTGTTTTGGGATACATTTTTGGGGGATGGTTGTTGGGTTCTTTTTTGGCAAAGGTGTGGCTGTAACCAATTGTAACCAATCATGATCGGGAAACAAGAGATGGGCTAGCGATTCACAGGGGGTGTGGGCGCCAGAAAATGAGACCTGTAAGGTTTGATGTGCAGTAAGACTTGATGAATCAAAAAATATGACAGTTGCATAAGCACACACATATATACATATAATTATATATATATATGTATATACGATGCAGACCTGCTGTTGTAGGATCCAGACGGGTGGGAAACGCTTGATCTGTCGTCGAGTCGTCAGAAGTTTACCAGACTTCTAGCTGAGCCTTTGTGGATATGCTGGATATGCTCAGTAAGTGGCCCTCAACTTTGCCAACTAGCTACGCGTGCAGCTATGATTTCGCACGTCCATCAAGCTCTCAGGTATGAAGAACTTGCATCGGGCCCTGGACTCCCTCTACGCCTGGGGTCGCAACATCACAGGGGCCCCCGCCGGAAACAGTCGTCGGGCTTTGACACGAGCCAATCTGAAAGACACGTGGCAGATCTTAGATCTTGGCAGATCTTGGTAGGTGTTGGCAGATTTTGGCAGTTGGTTTTCTGCAAGAATCTCCAAACATTGGATCGGCTAGGCAGCTGCAGACTGAGAGGTTATCTCGTCCACTCCGTAGTCCCTATCAGGTTGGGGAATTAGAAAGGTGCTGTCCTGTGCCCACAAGGCCATGATGTGAACCCACTGGCCAAAATTGTGGCATTTCATTGTAGACACATGTTTCCATCCACTCACTATAGCTTGCGCCAAGTCTCGGTATATGTCCCAGTGCCATGCATGCCTCAGGAAAGGTTGCACTTGATCGAGCCCGCGTTGCAAGAGTATTCAAGCAAGTGGTCCGTGGAAAACTTGGACACTTGTGCATGAGGAAGCTGCTTGGTAGCTGAAGCAGAGGGCTACGTTCAGGGAGGGTTGTATCATGAAGGGCCAGCTTGGCATGTGCCAATGATATCTATTTGTATTCAGTCATGATTGTGGCCAACCACTACCCGGCATCAGTCTTGTGAAGGTGTTTGGTTGCTACTATCTGGGGAGTGGAGTGGTAAGTGGAAGCATTGACTACAGTTTTTTGCTTAAAGCTTGACTTGGAAGCCGCCCGCCTGAAAGGAAGGCGCGCTTTTCCATGACTAGACTATACTTGAGATTCCGCATGGCATTTGCCACATCCATCAGGGGGGCCCCTTCAGCCGAGGCAGCTGAATGAGAGCGCACAAAGTGCCAAACGGAATGACGAAAGGTCAATGAATAATCAATCTTCCTGGAATCGCTCCTTTGGGGGTGTTGCAGTTGCGTGTCGTGCTCTGCCGATACCCCGATCGCAATGATGGAGCTATTTTCAGTCACCAGTTTGTGCGATTCGCCGATGAGCATCGTACGTTGCTGTACTGTATACGCTATTTGGGACTGGGTAGGATGAATGTCAAGGGAAAGTTGAAGACCCCTGACGGACATGTTCGAACTATTTCCGAACCTTAGAACACCAGAAGTCATAAAACACAAAATCCACCTGGAAATCAAACTCACAGCCAAAAGAGCATGGCTCATATTGACTACTACACCATGACTATATGTTGACAGCTTGATGTCAAGATCACCACGGATCCATGCCCAAACTGGCCAGCCATAATGCGTTGCTGAATGTGAGCCATGCCTGGCACAGAAGACCCTTCCCAAATCCTTCTGCCGATTTTGACTTTGCATGTTTTGCCACTGACGCGACCCAAAAGTTGACAGCTGCCGCCACAATGGATTGGGAAGCTGATCTCTCCAGCAGTGCTGGTCTAGGCTCCATGTAAGGTTTTCACGTCACATGATGGTTTCCATGGCACATGTCTAGCGATGTGTCCTAAAAGTGAGAGAGATACTGTCAACCCCGGATTAAAAAACCATGGTTGATTAATTAGGGGGGTACTCCCCAAACAGTCATAATCGGATATCCCCCCAATTAAACAGCCTAGGGCCTAGGGGTTTATTAATCCAGGGTTGACATTAGATTTGCGCAGCAAGGCGCGGGATCAACACAATGGCAGTGAGGCCGGGGATGTGGGTCAGATGGGCCATGCTAAAGCTGAAATGGGCCATTGAAAAAAATTACCCTGTATTACCATGTATTACCCTAATTGATTGGTTAGTATAGGGACTCGGACTATACTACGAAATTAACCCATGCTGTGGAAAACCTATCATCATACGGATATAGGACTTTTCTCATGGCTCCAATGATGTCAGCAATATTCAGCTGCCAGCCTCAACTGGCAGTGGCTTCCCAACAGTTTTTTTATCCATCAAGGCAAGTGGCAAGTGATATTGCGTCAAAGTGGCGACCACAGGCCAGATTTGCGCCTCGTTGCCGCCGCCCGTGCGGGCGCCTGTACTTGTAGAGCTGCTGATGGAGATGGCTGACGACGGGAAGACTGGAAAAATCCAAATCTCAAGTGACTAGTCTCATTACTGTTCAGAGATGTGTCTAATTTGTTTGACGTCTAAGACGTTTTTAGTTCCATCAGGACCTATCCATCAATCGATCAATCTATCTATCTTATCCATCTATATACCATTATATACCTACATATCATCTATGTGTATAATATGCATACACATATCAGGACATATTGAGTCCCTTCATCTATCGCATCAGGCCTTGGTGATTCAGCTGAGGTTGGGACCGTCGCGTAGAGCTTTTTGATGGAAAGTTGCTGCCCCAAGGGGCGAGCCAAAACTGCGACACGACAACGACGGCACAACTTACTGGGTTTTAACAGTTGAGGTATTAAAGCCATGGCCCATTTAGATCCATTTAGAGACTATCTACTATATATATATATATATTATATTAATTATATATATATATTATATTATATATATATATATATATATATTATATGTATATTTTATATATTATATGTATATTTTATATATATTATATGTATATATACCTACTTTATCATTATTTGCTATTGAAATGGTGATGTTCCTTTCATGTTGGGAGGGCGCACCACCTGAGGACCGCCAAGTCTCTAAACCGACTGGTTTGTCATGATGATGCAGTTGGGAGCCTGAAAGTTGGAGTTGGAATCAAGAAGAAACGATGTGGAAGATCTTCCGGTGGGAAATGGGTGCACAAGCCACCCCTTTATGTTCCCAGCCTTTGGCTGCCCAGGTGCTTTGCATCGGCTTTGAAGAAGAGCAGGGTCGTTTTGCCAGCGGCGGTGCTGATGGCCGTTGGGGCACCCCAGCTGTGCTACCGAGTTGACTTCGAGACTCTGCCCAGATAGTTGAGGGAATCTGGGGCCATGCCATGTGAGAGGCCATGGCGCGAATTTGTTCGCTGGCGTTTGCTCTCTACCATGGTAATTGAGAATCTTCATGGAGGGGCTTTCCAAGATAGTTACCAGTTCGGACCATATTCTTTCATAGTGTTTCCACATGAAAGGGATGATAGAAACCATCAGCGGGATTTATGTTCAGTCTTTCCAGAACTGCCATCCTTCAGTTTCCACATTATCTCCTTGGCCACAACAGCCAGGCATTGCTTTATGGGACCTCTTTAGCGAGACGTACTTGGGGTGCGGGGTCCCAGAACTGGCTTTGGCACACATGGTTCCTGTTGGCCAGAGCTTCCCTGGTTTCAAAGCTGCCGAAGCTGAGGCTCCTTTCATCAGTGCCCCTCTCAGATTGATGGCCTTGCTTTGTTACTGGGAAGCGATGAAACTCTATGTGCCTCGGCTTTGAGGCTGCGGTTGCTGATGACCCAACAGTCTTGGAAAAAGTTCGCACCACACCATGCCGCACCGGAAGAAATTATCAGTTTAAGTTTGAACCATTTTGAACCAAAGGCTTGTGTCCTGGGCGACGTATTTTTCGAAAAAGATGCAGGTAAGGATGCTCCAGCTGATCAGGATTTTGGCTCAAGAATAGCTGTTGTTTGCCTTGGTCGAACCAAACTAACCAGCTGCTAGAGGACTATAGGACTCCAGATGCATATCTAGGGCCCCTAGCCATCAGAACAAATCTTTAAAACCAATGCCAGACAGCCAGATGCTAGACCAGATATGATTGCCAGAAGTGGTATCCCAACCTCCACCAGCCCACCTCCATTTGAGAGAGTGAGAGCCTAATTTACTGCAACTACCCAAAGTTCAAACCAACCTCTGCCACGGACTCCACTTTGATACTTTGCAACAAGAGGAAGGCAGCTGAAAACGAAGCGTTTGAAAGAGAATCCGGTGACTTGACGCACAGCACGGCACGCCGTACCCGACAGGACAGGCTCTTTTGTTTCCGAGGTGTGTTGGCCGGGGGCTGTTGAACGTACCTCGTGAAACACAACTGCATAATATGCGATGGCCAAAGGGGACCATTGATGAAATTGGAAGGCATTTTATGGGTTCGTCTGAAAATAGGGTACCCCCCAAGTTGCTGATTTATCATCATATTCCCCATGAAATGGCAATAGTGTTCCCCATGTTCAGAGAACCCCCTATGATGCCCTATGGCATTCTGCTTGTTGGGATAAGTTCACTTAGATCTTCCAGATGCTGCTGGATGAAGGACTTCCTTGCCGAAACTCCTGAGACTTCAGTCTGAACTGCGAGGCCGAGGCCCACAGAAAATGACGTCCAGGTTGTTCATGATTTCCCGTGGTGTAGCAGTGAGATCCGGTGAACAGATATCCGCTCAGGTCTAGGTGGTGTTTTATATTGGATATCAAAGAGAGTCAGTCATTCAGTCATAGCCAAATAAGCATGCCTCAATATCAGTGGTACACTGGCACACCATGCTACACCTGGATTTGCTGAGTGGAAGCCACAATTCGTATCAATTCGTGACATGTGAATATGATCACGTTCATCCATCATCCATTCAAGTGGTCATGAATCATGAGTCATGAACCCGTTTGTCCCAGAATTGGTTGAAGGGAAAATTTACAGGAACTCTCCCCCCATATAAGCTGGTATATTCCATGCTTTCCTGAAACTGTAAATGTTCCCTGAAATCAATCCGTTGAAATTTGCTGATTAATTAAATCTCCATTCTGGTTGATGAAGTGTCACTTTCATCCTAGCTACATCACCATTTTCCCATAGTTTTCCTAGTGGAATCATGTTAAATCACCATGTTTTCCATTGTTGTTTTCACTATGTTCCCCATGTGTTCCCATTTTTCCACCATTTTCCCCATGGTTTTCCCATATGTTCCCATGTTTTTCACCATTTTCCCCATGGTTTTCCCATGTCAATTAACTCCCCAGGTTGCTGAAGCGCCTGCTCTCCACCGCGCCGCGTCCGCGCGTCGACCCCCGCCTTTCCATGGCGGAGGAGGGTCTGGCGCCGTCGGCGGAGATCGCCATCGGTGCACGCTTTGGGCCGCAGGATGATCAGCAGCTGGGGCAGCGATTTTTTGGGCCAATACCCTCTGGCAGAATCTGGATCCCTCTGGTAAACACGTTAAACTGTGGAAAGATCCACCATGCTATTAATGGGTACATTAAAACTATGTCAATGGCCATCTTCAATAGCGCTGAGGGTATGTTTACCAGAGGGTATTGTTCGTCCTTAATTTGTGCGGATCTCGGCGGCGATGGAGAGATTGTTTGTTTTGTTTGGCCAGTAAAAAGGTAAGATGGGGTAAGGAGCTGGAGGCTCCTAGTGAGCCAAGCTACTACGGCTAAGAGTTTCCCAACCACATGTTGGGGAATTCAACAGAACATTGGTATTTAAGGTGTTATATATATATATATATAGTTGACTATATATAGTTGTATGATGAGATAAAAATAGAACCAATGGGGAATGTCCGAAAACATTGTACTGGGGACATAATGGGACTATAAGTGGGGATTCACACAACCATTACCATTACACTCAATCAACCATAGCTGGGGATATAATGGGATTTTGAATTGAGCATAGAGAGCATTCAAACGGTTTTTGCTTGGCCGCCTTATTTATATATGGTATTAAGAAACCCCAAGCAGATTCACGAGAATTGCGCGCTTCGTGTGGGCAAGAACCCTATGACCACAAGAGAGCAGAAAACAATCACAGCATGAGAGACAAGTTGTTTAAAACCCGCTCCTCCTTTAGAAAACAGACGTGCAAGCTGCAAGCGCTTCAAATGTATGGTGCGACATGATTGTTCCCCATGTTTCCTCCATCCCAGTAACTAGTGAAATTAGATCATGTACTCCCAGACCCCGTGATGGCATGGTCATGCTACCAGGTATGAGATTGGAAAACAATTGGGTCACGGCGCGGCTTCACAAGTTTTTTCCTGCAGGCAGGAGGGGTCAACAGCCACCTGGGGATGGTGGAATCTCAAAATCCTTGAGGATTGGTGGACAAGATCCAGTTATAGATCCCTGTTCAAGATCTTCATTACATCTAAAGGCCGTTAAAGACCTAGGTGTGATACAATGGTTTAATCATGTTTAATCAGTTTAATCCTCAAAAAAAACCAGTAAAGAAGAGTAAACATACATTAAAAAAATCATACAATTCCATGTTTTATGGATGTTTTATGTGTTTTCATGTTTGAAATCCCTATTGCCAATATGGTTTCAACCACACAAAACTAGGCCGGATGTGGTTCAAATCCCGGCCAGGCGCCTCCGCGATGGTGAGGAACTGGCAGTGAAGACGGTGGACCTACGACGGCTCTGCATCATGGTTGGAAGAGGAACCAGACTTGGTCCAAGAGATATTGAAAAATTAGGATTTCCATAGGATTTCCATAGGATTTTGATGATGTTTGATGATGTTTGTGGTTGTTTCTATGATTTTCTTGAGATCTAATGGGGATTTTCTTGGAATTTCTTGGGGGGAACACTGGCGCTGTGTACATGCTTAGCCGCACTTTTGTGCAGCTGGGCCTTGTAACAACATTTTTATGGTCGTGAAGTCGGGACCATTTGGGATCATTTGGGACCCCCATTCCGGGCAGATTTATGGGATTTTCATGGGATATTCATATGATTTTGAATCCATGGTGCTGGTATATATGCTAACAAAAAGGGGGTATATTGATGGGATCCATGTTACCATGGATCCTATGGGATATGATTTTAAATCCACTGATGATCATCGTATTTGGGAGTTTCTTCATTATTCATATGATTCATATGCTAGTTTCATGGTATGATTGATCCCCATCCCTAGGTGTTTAATCAAACAGATTTCGGGGCAGTTAGCGACAATTTGAAAACTGGGAAATAATCGAACTGTCGTGAAGTGTAGAACATTACAGTAGCAATCTACAATTACCCCTCTTGTGTAATAGTACATATTGGGCCAGGAGTATTGGATCTACTAATTTGGATTTGGACATTGAAAAAAAATGTTAGCACCCCAAAAAACATTAGATGTTAGCAAAATAACTGTAAATTTAAGGCATTCTATCCTTTTCGCTGATATTTTCTTAGGGCGATGAGATTAATCTATACAAGACCTTGCTCAAACTGGATGATGGGTAAGTTGACACGGAAGCATGATATGTCGGATATGTAAGGTGTAAAAAAAAACATGGTTTCTTATAGATGTTCCCAACAAACCCATTAACCTGGCCCGTTAAGGTCTACTGGGCGACATGCAGGAGCAGCTGGGCCGCCTTGATAGTGAGGTGCGGCGATGCCACAAGAAACCCATGCGATAAAAAAAATGGCCAGTTTTTTGAACCTCACTGAGGCAAACTAGTGGCATTTCTGTTTCATCTAGTGAATTTGATTTCAATGTGCACATTTTTCGAGTTGGACCATTGTGACGCCTTTGTGTCCCCATAAGGCTTCTTAGCGACTTCATCATTTCTGTTGTACCAGGGTTTTTTTCATACGGCCAGGTGGGGATTCTACAGGAACTTCACCATGCGACTTGGCAGAGTGAGGGTACACTCCGGGGCAGTGGATCCCTTGAAATTACCCATTGCCCATACATAGAAGTTGCGAGCCATGGGAGAAGCAAACTTCACGGACCCCGCAGCCAAACCAACCTTGGTGAAGATGTTTATCTCAGGGATGTCCTGCAGCTCAGGAGAGGATTGTGAATTTGCAAAGCTTCCACAAGCACCTCAGCTGCAAGTCGGAATAGCGAGGCTACCCCCTTGCTATAGCAGTGATTGTGAGATACTGCCTTGCACTTGCACTTGAAGACCTGCACATGTATGCCCAAAGAGCTTCCCAAAAAGCCCCTCTCAGCGTTGAGTTGGTTTTACTTTCTTTTCCTTTCGGGGAAAACATCCACAGTTTTCCCCTTTTTCCGTTGGAGGAGCGAGAATTGGTACTTTCTGATCATGGAGTTGGTTGGTGGGGGCGAACTTTTCGACGTCATCGTCCGAAACAAGTCCCTCAACGAGATGGAAGCGAGCAACTTGGCAGCAGGGGCACCAATTTGATGGGTCAGACTTGCTCATGAAGCAGAAGTACCAAATCGGATGATGTTGGAGGTGACTTTTTTTTGAGTGATTTGTATTTGTATTAGGTGGATCTTGCCGGACACGCGGAAACTCATTTATTGAATTTTATTGAGATCGGGTGATTGCAGGCTATAGCTATGATTACACCAGCGCAGTCCTGTAGCTTGAATGTTCCCAAACATTGACCCAATGCCCTCACTAATCTAAATATATCCTGAATGATTTTAATACTTAATATCAATAGTTTTGGTAACAGCTGACTTCTGAGGACACATTTTCATGCAGCTCTTAGAGGGTGTCGGCTACATGCATTCGAGAGGCAAGACTTTGGCGACATGTGTGGCGTGGGGGGCACGTGGGTACTCCATCCATGTAAACCTGAAGCGGTTATAATCTTTTGCAGAGTCCTGGGACTCATGATAGCTGATAGCCAGAGTTTTTGCTACCATTAGAGTTATCGGGATATAATTATACAATCATATAATTATACAATATATTGAGAATGAGTCCATAATCCACTTCGGCACCCCCGGTGACTACACACCCCAAAGACCCGACTCTGAAAAAACGGCGGAGGTGTAATTCACCGCGACCTGAAGCCGGAAAACATCCTGGTGGCCAGTTCCAGGCAACCATCTCATGGCCGGATGCTGCTGGCTGTTGGTTGTTTCAAAGTTCCAAAGATCTCCAAATATGTCAAAGATACCTGCTGGTTTATCATGTTTGTCATCTAGAAATTGCCCATTTCCCATAACATCCCAACTTTATCATGGTTATCATCTATAGAATTTTCCATAGCTATGTTACCTATGTTGAATCATCGGAGTGTGTTGTTTCCCATTCCTGGGATGTGTGATATAATCAGTCGGACATGATCATCTCGAGGGACTATTCGATGATACAGACATATTTCCCCGCAGTGTAGTTGAAACTATACCCAGCAGCTTTGACAAAAAAACCTACTCAAACAATCTCAAACATTCATGCATTCATGGCTTCATAGAAAATCCATGAAAATCCTCTATTTCGAGGATTTCCCCAGGTATCAAACCTCCATTTGTTTGGGAAATCCATGGAAATCCCGTCCATGATTCGTTGATATCGATGTGTAGAGGCCCCATGCGGACGGCCAGCTGTATGACGTCAAGATCGCCGACTTCGGACTCTCGAAGGCGCAGCGATGGTGTGTACCAAGATTTATGGAAGAGACAATGCTATTCAAGATCTATATAAATCAAAGATGTATATATATCATTATAAATTCATATATAGTCTATATATAATCATATAATTATATAATAGATTGTTCATGATGGGATTAAAACATGGTGGATACACCACATTTTTTTCCACATTTTTCTGTTCGATGGCAGCACTTTAATCGGAGGCCATTGGCGGAGGTGCCTCCTTAGCCCGCACGCGCGTGGGAACGCCTCAGTACTGGGCACCTGAGGCGTGCGGTTTTGCCAACAACGGGGGCGAGCCGGACGCATGGCCCATGGATCCAACAAAGCCATGGAGATATGGGAAACATAAAGGGAACATATGGAAAAAATATGAAAAAAATAGGTTTTAAACATTTATAGACCACTAAACTGTAGTTGGGGTAGTATTTTTTGGAGATCAAATCCATTTGTCAGCGAATCTGAGTGTGGGATAGTATGAGATAGTATGCGCAAGATTTATGGGAAGATGATAATCTGCGTGGTGACAGTTTCGCAAGGAGGTTGTGAGCTTTCTCATGCTTTGCCCCCTGGATCAATGGCCACGTAAGGGCTATCTAAATTGGAGGTACCTGCCATATCATTATAAGTAATATAATGATATATGAAGGATCAAAAGACCTATTGGCCATGTATGGGGATATGCCCCCCAGATCTCGCTTGATATGTACAGTGCCTCCATTTTGGGGTCCTGAAATTCACATCAATGGATTTAATGGATTCAAGGCAAACACATGCCCTTCTGAATCTTTGAGATCCCAGCGGCAAATGTTGGATTGCTTGAGTGCCTTAGATGCCAGTCACAACCAAAGACAAACGTTCACCAGTCACATTTAAAACAGCGTTGAGTCGCAGCCCATCACTATGCCCCATCCCCTTGGAGAAAATGGCCATGAAGTGCCAGGTGCTAGATGTGCAGAAAAGGGGTGGTTCCTACGACCAAGCAGCTGATTTTTGGGGCCTGGGGGCTGTGCTCTTCGCCACTTGGAGGGATTTGATGGGATGGAGGGCTGTCAGGGAACCAGCCTCAACAAACAGGGGACCACCTGGGCTGGTTCCTGTCTTGTAATGAGGTCATGCTGTGTGGACGCTACCCTTTTGATGGGCAAAAGCAACCGCTGGACGATCAAATTCGCACGGCGTCTTATTGCATGTCAGGCAGCACAGCTGCATTTAGTCCAGCTTTTTGAGGCCCTCCTGCAGCAACACGGGAAGTCAATGAAAGTCAGGAAATTATCATACACCGACGTAAGACGATCAAAGCAAGATTGGCATGACCCCAATGCCAAATGGTTTCCTAACATGGGGGCACCCCCAAAATCATCCATTTATAGATGGGATGTTCATGGAGTTTCCATGAAATAAACCAACCAGCGGGGTATCCCCATATCTTTGTCACTCGTTCACACGAGGCTCACGGTGGCGAGGCATTTCGGAAGCCGCCAAGAGCCTGGTTCGCGGACTCTTGCGGGTGAACCCTGTGGACAGGCGCGCCACGTGGGAAATTTGAAGGGGTAGTGACTGGTGTTGAAAATTCGCTGATTGTCCAATTGTTGGTCAGCTATCAGCAGCCATCATCAAAGATGCACTCTTCGAGCTTGGGCCAAGCTAGCTCTTTTGTATAGGTATGTTGGAAACCACTGTTATTGGAACGCTATGGCTTGCGCCCGGTTCTAAATAGACATGAAGAGAGCCGCAAAACATGGAGAGAGAGAGAGAGAGAGTGTCACAGACTAGCACAATTGGTTCGCCGGTATCATATCAAATGGTCAGTTCAATAGCTACATATCCTTTTGCAACGGCCTTGACATGACTTACTTGAGTCAGTCTCAGCCATACTGAATGGTTGGATTTTCATATGTGATATATGTGTTCACCCCCTGTTCAGCGAGTTGAGGATGCCAGAAGGTGAACTTTCACCCAGAGATACCCAGAGCATCCAACAAAAACCAGCGAGTCAAACGCAGCACTGGGACCCTGGGAGGCTGTCATTGGAGGAGTGCTTGAATCATCCCTGGGTCACAGGGCAGCCGATGCTGCCCAAGACACATTTGATGCCGACGGCTCCTGTGAAGTGGGATGCTAGGCTGCAGGGTGTTTTTCGAGGTGTCAATCTATATCTGGAATGTGTCAATATGTGTCAATACATGACAAAGGTATGTTCGAAGTTATGACACGTGATAAACCTTTTCTTACTAACCGCCATCTCGATTGGTTCATAGCCATGCAGCATACACTATGCCGGCGTATAGTCCAACCTCTTTCACCATTTGGTCATGGGAAATTCGGAGCCAGACACCCAGAAGAACTTGAAGGTAAAAACCAGTGGTAAGGAAAATCATCGAAGTAAATGGTGAGTTTTCCATTGCCAGGTTTGATCATCCGAAAGTATATGCCGGTAATGTGGCCCAACAATAAACCATCCCCAAAATCGTCATAAATAGGTGGTATAAATCAGCCTCAATTTTTGGCTAGACTCCTGGACCAATGGAGAGAGAGAGAGAGAGAGACCATTCCCAAATGGGTGTGTCTGAAAATAGTGTACCCCTAAACCCAATGGTTTTGCTGATCATTATCCCTATTAAATGGCTATTTGTTTGGGAATATACCCTATTTTCAGACCATTCCCAGATGGATCTTCCACAACAATCAGCAAGGACATGCCTGGGGAACGGCCCATGGCTGTCATTGCGGAGCACACGGCGACGGATGTCCACCTCTTAAAGGAGCGATGGGCGGATGGTCATAGATGGCCGGTGGCCGAGTGGGTTCTGAGTTTAGGAAGCTGAGGAAAGTTCAAAAAAGGATGTAAAATATGCAAATGAAGTTCCAAACCAATGGTAGAAGTCGAATTATACAGGAAAAGTGAGAAGACTTGAGCCAAAATGATGAGGAACTTTGAGTAGATATGAGATGATATGAGTAGATCCATTACTAAAAGTTCCTGTTATCAAGATGCCCTTGATCTGGCCAGGTGGTTTCAGGCTCAGGTGAGACCGAGGTCGAGAAAACGGAGCAGCTTGGTGATGGCTGGCTTTTCAAGGGTTTCCAGGTCCTTTTTAGGGCCATTCTATAGGGGCTGAAGTGCCTGAAACATTTTTGCTATGGTTGACAGGGGATGTTGGTTGGTTTTAATATGTGTTGTTGGGATGTTCAACATGTTTCAATCATGTTCAATCATATTCGGAATAGCTCGGGAGAATGAACCCTGAATGACGAGCATATTTGCTCAGGGGGGTTGAAGCCACAAACCATCATCGTTCGGCAGTAGATTTCAGGGGTGTAGTGTGTGGACCACTTGGGGCCCCAGTCTTGATCCGAATCCATGCAGACTGACATCATATATAAAGAAGCCAGTTTTTTTTGCAAAAAGAACTGCCCCTGAGTAGTAAATGCAAGATCTTCAATCTTGTGATTCCCTGTGGTGCGCAGAAAAGTCTCAACCTCGCTGCCAGGATCTGCCAGGTATCCAAGGTGTGATCACTATGTCCATCTATGTCCTATGTTTTGGGAGGTTGAACCCTTGCACATGAGTGAATGTTTTGGATCATGCGTTTGCGTCAAGTTCCGTTACCTGTAAGGGTCAGCACCCCAGGCGAGAATTGTATGGCCATGGGAATGTGCTGTTCCGCTGTTCCTTTCAAGACGCTATCGATCTATATCGATCTAGCGATTTACACATTGTATGTATATATTCAATTTATGGATGTAGTGGGGTTCTCATATTCTTTTGGATTTTTTTGGATATCTCCAAGCATCCCCAAGCAAAAACGGACCCAGGCGAGCAGCTTCAACGAGCTGCTGCAGTGTTTCCGATTCGGACCTTGGGAAAAGCTGCAGCCGTGTCGTTTCTCGGATCGCAGGTCGCTTTTCGAGGGTGGGTGGGACCGGGAACCTGGAAACGCCATGAAGTTTCATGATGGGTGAAGGATGATGAAAGATTTGTAATGGATGAGAATAGATGGACTATTAATTAATGATATTAATGCATGACAATAGATGATCTATAATGGACGATTTATTATTGATGGGTGATCGCGGACGATTGATTATTGATGGATGATGGATGAATCATTGAGTCATATTGAGTCCTTCATTGTTCCATTCAATGGATGATAATGGATTCATCATTCATTTGCCAAATGGATGAGAGTTGTTGATGATGATGATGATGATGATGATGATGATGATTGTTGTTGTCGTTGTCGTTGTCGTTGTCGTTGTCGTTGTCGTTGTCGTTGTCGTTGTCGTTGTCTTGTCGTTGTCGTTGTTGTTGTTGTTGTTGTTGTTGTCGTTGTCGTTAATTGTCGTTGTCGTTGTCGTTGTCGTTGTCGTTGTCGTTGTTGTTGTTGTTGTTGTTGTTGTTGTTGTTGTTGTTGTTGATCTTGATCTTGATGTTGATGTTGATGATGATGAGATTGATGGATTGTGGTGATTTTGGTGGATCCTACGACTTCCCAGGTGAGTTCTCCAAGTAGTCCTGGACCTCATGCCACGCAGCGGCAGGTGTGGCTGCATTTGTCACTGTGAAATATTGTGAATGGGATAGTCATATGCCCCAAAAGCATGGGTTTTACCATTGGTGTTGGTTTTACTAGGTGTTGGTACTCATATTCTCGAATTTGGGGTGATCTGCAGGTATCCATTTCAGTATGGGCCTGTAGAAATGGGTGGAGGTACCCAGCAAGTTTGGGGATGATGGCAGTTCCTGTGGCCTGCGACCAAGTTTCCTCCCTTTTTTGGATCAGGGTGGGGTAGGCCTCCCAAACTGCCATTTTGATGGGGAAAGTGATCAGAACCCATTGGATACCCTCTGGTAATTTAACATAGCGATTGAAAATGGCCCATTTATAGTTGATCTACCTATTAAAGATGGTGATTTTCTATAGCTATGTTAGTTTACCAGAGGGTATGTGATTTGAATATCTTCGAATCATGCAGCATTGGATTTCGGGGCCGATTTCAGAGGGACCCACTGGCGCAGGGTCCACTGAACCTGGCTCCCTTTGGAGTTGCCGCCATGTCCTTCTTCTGGAGCCACTTGGAATGAGAAATCTGTGGAAAACCGTGGATGTTTGACATGTTCGACCCAAATCTGGAATCATCTGGGGACTACCTGTGAATTTTCCCTTCAATTCTGGAACTGTCCTACCCAGACAGTGTGACTTTGGGGAAAGAAACATTGAATGTATTTGAATGTCATTAACTCAGCCTTTCACTGCCACATCCATGATCCTCCAAGATCCACTTGCTTCAAGACGCTTTGAAACCCTGGGGATTCCTGGTGCTGAGGGAAAGACATGCGGGCCCGGCGTTGGACGTGGGCCGCTCTACTGTTGTTGGCCATGCTCTTCTGGGGCGCTCAGCGGATCAGTCAACGCGATCCCCGCGACAAGCTGTTGCCCGCTGAGGCTGGAAAAACCTATGTGGTGGCACGTGATTGGGGGAATCCTTGGGATGCCTTGATAAGCCATGATAAGCCATGGTAATGCCATAAACCATCCATCATCAAGGATCGTAAACCACAACCCATTGTGAACCAAAATAAACAATGGTTGAGTTTTCATGGGCATTCGGACATTTGCCAGACATTGTCGGGCGCACGGGTGGGGAGTGAGAGTGTTCGATCCCCTTCTCGTCGCATGGGTTTCCAAGACTCCGCAAAGAAGAATCAACAGGATTGAAAAAATGACAATAAGATCAACAAGACAAGAAGACAATCCAAAAGTATCCAAACCTATCCAAAACTATCCAAAACTATCCAAAACTATCCAAAACTATCCAAACCTATCCAAAACTATCCAAAACTATCCAAAACTATCAACTTAACTTAATATATCTTAATTAATATTAAATTGCATATCGATATATCTGTCTTTCCTCATTAGGGATGCCACAGCCAGGTGCATATGATGAACCGTCCCGGCCTGGACAAGCCCACGGATTTCAACAACCTCAGCGCTGAAGGCTTTCGCAACAAAAAAACCCGATGAAATCCGTGGATTCCAGACATGAAATCCCATGGATTATCATGGATGATCCATGGATTCCAATGGTTTTATCATGGTTTATCATTGAATATCCCATGGATCAACCATTGGTTGATCCATGGTTCATGGTTTATCCATGGCAAAAATCATGGTTTATCATTGGAAAAACCCATGGATTATCATGGATCAACCATTGGCTTTCTGAATGAATGTGATCTGCTGGTGAACATGGGAAAATTTGAGGATATTTTTGAAGCTGGGAAAAAAACCTGAAGTTCTGAGTTGTGTCCCATGGTCCCATGGTAGTTGATCATCATTGTTCCATGAAAATATATGGCAGTGTGGTGGCAGTATCCTCACGTCTTTGTACCTATTGTTTCTGCAAAGTCAAGTAATTAGATTCTTATGGAGCTGAGGTGAGAAACCCAGTAGCCTCTGGTAATTTAACATAGCTATTGAAAATGACCATTTATAGTGGATTTTCCCATTGAAAATGGTGTTTTTTTGTATGTTTACCAGAGGGTAACCTGTGTCTGAATCGCCAGGAGAGGAGAAGAACTTGTTGGCTGCGTTGGACCAGTCGCCGTTCTTCTACTTCGCTGGTTTGGATCGACCGGCCGAGCCTTCTGTGTTGAGGGATGGGTGGAAGGATTTCGAACGGTGGGGCATCCAACGGTGGAACATGGTGGAACCACAGGTTGTAATTCTGGTTATGGAATGTTATGTATGCAACTGCATTGTGTGATAATTCATGATACAAATTTCATCAAATTTCTGTTTCTTGGTCCAGATGATGCAGATGCGTTTAAACAAGGCATCATTGGCTACTATCATGCTGGTTATGCTGTGCGCACTGAGGATGCGTTGCTGCTAGATGCAGGGGCCAAGGATCCCTACCAGCAGCCGGCTTGCAGAGTTTTAATCACGCTCTCCTGATGCACTGCCATATGAGTTGGCAATGTGTGGCCATGATGTTATTTGCTAGCAGAATCACCCAAATCCAGAGAAACTGCAGAAGCTGTCCTTGGTTTTTTTCCAAAAAATGCGAAAATGTGATGGGTTCTCCATGGTTTTCCAGGCGAATTCTCACTGGTTCACCTGTTTTAAGGCAATCAGGAAGCCTCTTCCGTTTGTCCGAATTGCTCAAGCTCCAGATCTCCATCGCAGGTGGGGGGACCTCACGGAGGCCTGAACCAAGTAACTACCCTCTGGTAATTTAACATAGCTATTGAAAATGGCCATTTATAGTGGATTTTCCCATTAAAAATGGTGATTTTCCATAGCTATGTTAGTTTACCAGAGGGTAAATGTGTCTTTCTCACGGCCTTTGACTCGAGGATTGCTTAAGGAGGGCTATTTTTTTTGGATTTTTTTCCCGTTTTTTTTTGGGATTTTTTTCCCGTTTTCTGGTGGAAGGAAGGTGCGAGGAAGGAAGGAAGGAAGGCAGGGAGGGAGGGAGGGAGGGAAGGAGGGAAGGAAGGAAGGAAGGAAGGAGGGGAAGGGGAAGGGAAGGGAAAAGGGAAGGGAAAAGGGAAGGGAAGGGAAGGGAAGGGAAGGGAAGGACAACAACAACAGCAACAACAACAACAACAACACCAACAACCAACAACCAACAACCAACAACCAACAACCAACAACCAACAACCAACAACAACAACAACCAACAACACCAACCAACCACAACAACAACAACGACCAACAACAACCACAACAACAACAACAACAACAAGAACCAACAACAAGAACCAACAACACGAACCAACAACAACAACCACAACAACAACAACAACCAACAACAACAACAACAACCACCACCAACAACAACAACAACCAACAACCAACAACCAACAACCAACAACCAACAACCAACAACCACAACAAACAACAACAACAACAACAACAACAACAACAACGACAACAACAACAACAACAACAACCACCAACCACCAACCACCAACCACCAACCACCAACAACCAACAACCAACAACCAACAACCAACAACCACAACAACAACCAACAACCAACAACGAACAACAACAACAACAACAACAACAACAACCACAACCACAACCACAACCACAACCACCAACCACCAACCACCAACCACCAACCACCAACCACCAACCACCACCACCACCACCAACAACAACCACAAGAACAAGAACAAGAACAAGAACAACAACAACAACCAACAACCAACAACCAACAACCAACAACCAACAACCAACAACCAACAACCAACAACCAACAACCAACAACCACAATCAACAACCAACAACCAACAACCAACAACCAACAACCAACAACCAACAACCAACAACCAACAACCAACAACAACAACAACCACAACCACAACCACCAACCACCAACCACCAACCACCAACCACCAACCACCAACCACCAACCACCAACCACCAACCACCAACCACCAACAACAACAACAACAACCACAACCAACCAACACCAACCAACCACCCAAGCAACCAACCAACCAAGCAAGCAACCAACCAACCAACCAACTATCCAACCAACCAACCAACCAAGCAACCAACCAACCAACCAAGCAACCAACCAATCAACCAACCAACTAACTAACCAACCATCCATCCATCCATCCAACCAACCACAACAACAACAACAACAACACCATGCAAATCAGAGAGCTTAGCTGCAAAACGCTGCAAATACCAATCAAAACCATCAAACCCCAAAAAACAGGAAAAAAATCCCAAAAAAAAACGGGAAACAAATCCCAAAAAAAATTGCAGCCCATTGCTTAATACTACACGTATTCTTCTTGTGAAGGAAACTAGATCTGATGTCAGAGACTGTGCTGCTTGCCTGTTTTGGCACCAGTGTGAGCCTAATTGGCACAAGATTGTCTGGCAAAATGCTGCTTCACACATATCAATATTTATCATAGCACCCCTGAAAAGATAGAAAAGTACGGTAATTCACCACTATTTTAGTTGGACGATTTTTCTTTTCACCTTTTTGCTATGCATGTGTAAATGCATGGACATATAAATGTATATCCCTCCACAATCCTTCATACTTCTGAGTAGGCATGAACTTGTTGATTGGCTGTGCGTTTGGGATTGTTGAAACCCTCGGGATGCTCATCGCGAATCGTTGATACGATATTGGATTCTTCCAAATTAGGGTACCCCAAAATCTGGCAATGTTGAGGATCATTCCCTCACAATTTCAGGCACATCCATGTCATATTGGCTTACTATATCCCCATACTATATCCCGATTATGGTTGGTTTGGATCTCCCATCTTTATTGCTTAAAATCCTATCAGATCCCACTAAACCTGCTTAAATTCCATGAAATCCCATTCAATCCTTCATTGTCAGCGGTTCAAACCACATCCACTGAGGCTCACTGGAGATGGCAAACTTGGCCGTGCGGCATGTCGACACCGAGCTAGCCGAAGCTACGCGGCATGCCTACCAGCAGGCACTGGGCGTGGTCGTTTGTGGTCGTTTGAACACGACCCTTTTTTGGCGGGACTTGGACACATCCTGGCGAAACATTGAAGCTGTGGTTTTTGGGCGTTTTACTTGCCCCACACTTTGGGGAAGTTGAAAGTGCTAGAAGATTCTTATATAGTTTGGTTGTTTACACCAATTGTTTGGTTTGATTCATCATTTCCAATGATTAACCATATCAATAATAAATACTGCTATATCCCCATGGGTATCCCCAGGGTTAATTAATCATTTCCCTCTACAAGGTTGCTCATGATTGGGATTATTCCTATAAATTTATGCTTAGTATTCATCACTACCATATTTCTTATGAATTTATGAATCGTATTATGATTTGGTTACCTATTTTTATTTATCCATCACTACAAAATATGGTTGCCTATTCATCAAAAAATGTTAATCATTTGCCACTAAATAGGAACTCCGATAATTATATGCTACTGACCTATGATTATATCATTAAAATGCCCTATTATAGTCCAATGTTCATAGTTGGCAGTTTAGCGCTTAATATGGCTAATAGGTATTTTTATTAATAATATGGTTAGTCCCATATTGCTACATATTTTCCACACTATTAATATGGCATAGTATGGTTATACTCCTATTATCTCCTATTGATAGGTGCATATGGCTATTTGAACCCGGAATTATTATATGGTATGACCTACGAATATTTCATTACCGTAATATGTCCCATGGTTAACGTTCATAGGCTAATACCATAGATGTATAATATATATATATAGTTATATACATATATGCCATCAAAAATCCACGTGTTAATATGATCACATTATTTCTATATTCATCATAGGTTTTATAGCATTAAACATACATATACCATATACCATACTGCCATACAGGATGGCTCCCGCAGTCATAAGTTATTTTATAGACCCCATGAACTATAGTTATATCTACCAATATCTACCATAAACTATAGTTAAGCCACTTAATTATAAGGCAACTTTATACAAATTTTGGGGGCCCCCATCCTGTATACAAAGCCCATATACCATATGATATTCATCATGTCCCCATGAAATTTCTCCAAGCTCCATAGCTCCATGGTTTTGGACCCGGAGAGCCAGGCGCGGGAGCTCTTCAAAAACGCTGCAGAGGTCGTTAGTCGCTATGCCGAGGTCGACCTGGCGATTTCATCTTGTGGCTATTGGATCATTAGAAAACCCCCCGCTAAAGGATAGGAAAAGGTTCAACCTAAGGAAAGTAGAAAAGGTTATATTGATCACTATCTTAGTAAGAATTGTTTCATGTATTTGACTTCTCTTGCCATTTTAGGGTGACTCGTCCTTTTCAAATCGGTGCTATCTTGTTTGGTGGTTGCTGTAGGTCCTGATAGAGCTGAATTGGCGCTGCTGAGTTTCAAATGGGGATCAAAACCTATATTGTGTACCATATTTGGAGGGGTGAACATCCATAAATCCTAGGTTATTACTGGATTGTTAATCCATAGATCTATTAATCCGAGATCTATTTGCTGGTGTTGTTCTTTAACCCGGGGTTTTTACTCCAAAATCTCCAGCCGTTGACGTCTTGCAGGTGGCTGGACAAGTGAGCCACTCAGTGCTGCCTGATCTGCAGCTGGCAGTGGACGAGCAGGCGGAGCTTTATAGGTTCAGGGAGATGGACCTGGCATTGCCGAAAAAGAAAACAGTATATTATTTTGTATCTATCACCATATTATGTCATGTTATACTGACCTATCATCATATTATGCTGATGTATTGCTTTATATGATAAGATATATAAAGATATAGAAAGATCATATTATTAGACATGAAGACCTAAAGTCAAAATTTGGTCATACTTAGTCTTGGTGTTGAAGCATGTTGAACTGTTGAACCACCCCAATTTGTGGTACAGTTGATTGCAGTTGGATGAAAACTTAGGTTAAAACTTGTGTTTAATGTCAGACGTCTTGAGGCTAGATCCGATTACTTACCAAAATAACATCAATGGGAATTTCAGGATCCTAAAATGGAGGTACTGTACCATATAGGAGCATATGTTCTAGGGATATCCCGTTAAAAAAAGGCCACAACGAACCCTCTCATGGCATCACCCAAAGCTACAGATCATGGCTCCAAGGGGGTTTAACCCGGGGGGGGATCACGGGTTCCAACGGGTTCCAGGCACCTGCCCTTGCCGCGGACCTGTTGGAGATGTTGAAGAATTGGGTGACGGACTGCCATGGAATCGCGGGAATCGCCAAACGACTAGGTACGACTAGATGATGACATGATGCTTAAATATGCAGCGACATGGCAAATCAAAAGGCTAAGGTGCATAAACCATTGTGCGGAGACTCGGCAATCAAAAAGTGTGAGCTTACACTTGGAGAAAGCATTCCGGAAGTAATTAATTACGATGAAATATGTCATCATGTTTTCTCATCTTTGTTCTGAACCATTCTCTAAAGACTGGCTCCAGCAATGTTTGGCAGATCACCGCAGGACATGAAGAAAGACAGCGATGTAATTCGAACCAACTATGGAGCGCTGAACCTTGGCGTGAAATCCTTGAAGGGACTATTCGACATGTAGCACTGGCAGATAGCACCGACTTCATATTGTTGGTCATATCCCCATTGTATATTATCATATGTCAATATCCCATATACCAACTATAACACCGACTATAAGATATAAATATCAACTATATTGTATAACACCAACTGTAACATTTGTAACATATCCCCCAAAAAAGGTTGGCCAAAAAGGTGATGGTCATTCCATAGGCAGACTGTTTGTCCCAGGCAGAGCACCATCGGCTCCTTGGCGGATCGTGCCCTGCAGAGCAAGCAGCAGGCGGATGTGAAGCTGGCACAGGCCGTGGCCAACGTGCAGGAGGCGCGGCAAGCACAAGCGCAGCCGCGCGGCTGAGGATGATGTTTGGTTAGCAACTTTTTTTAGATGGATCATTGGATCATTGGATCTAATAGATGATATAGATGGAGGTTGCCAACTTGTGAATGGGTGGTTCTTCATGGCGAAGCCATGTAAAGCCCATTAAATTTACAGTAACCATCCCCATCCTCCAAAAACATCCAAAAACCAAGCGCCATTGCTATGGCTTGTGACTTCCCCCGGTCATGGTACGTGCCCATACCTGCGAGGCCATGATGTCTGAGAATGCCACTGAGAAAGGAAGCTGCCACCCGGCACCGATAAATCGGCAATGCCATGGTGCCTTTCAAAAAAAACTAACATAAACCTAGCCACAAATCAGAAGACATCATTGGACATCATTGCCAGTGATCGGAAGAGAATGGAAGAGAGTATATATGTGGAATTGTGGAGTAGCGTTGCACGTTTGCACACGTTTTCAACGGATACCGCGCGTTGGCAGTGCCATTTGATTTGACTATTTTGACTCCGGCCTGGACGCTGAGGTGCCTATCAGACAGAGCCACAATTTCAGGCAGGACCATCAAACTCTGTTTCATGCTCCATGATAGCCGTTCATAGTGCAGGATGAATTGACTTCAACATGATTTTTATGCATCGTCATCATAGTTCGTATGAGTCTATAACTGCATGACCGTATCAGTTTACATCATAGTTAATAGATGTTCATAGTCAATCATCAGAGAACATATGAGAATACAGATGTACCCTCTGGTAATTTAACATAACTATGGAAAATCACCATTTTTCATGGGAAAATTCACTATAAATGGTGATTTTCTATAGCTATGTTAAATTACCTATACAGATGAATCCTTCTATAAGCGTGACATGCTGTAGCCGTTTGGTCAATGGCACCTCGCGCCTCGCAGGTGGCCACCAGGACAGAGGAGGCGGGCCGTCAGCCCGTCTCCGATGTTGACACGGCAGCGAGCAGTTGCTTGGCCCCTGGCGCCCCTGGGCCCTGGGACATCCTGTGGGACCCCTTGAGATTCACAGAAAACACTTGAAGTGAAAATAACAAACACATATTGCTAGAACTCTCGGAGAGGGCGATGGAGAGAGAGAAAGATATATATATAATATATATATATATAATATATATATATATATATCATATATATTTATACCTCATATATAACATAATCTGACTTGGCATGAGCACCGTGCTGCGCACCTTGCTGCCATTTGGGGGATGGCAATTTTGGGGATGCAAAGGCTGTGCTGGTTCCGTGCCTTGAAGCCATTCTGCCAAGTTGGCTGGAGATTCATAGCCACAAATACAAGCATGGTGATCAGTTATAATTAGTCCCCAGCCCCAACTGCACAAAATTATATATAAGGATATATTTATTTATTGAAAAAAGAAAAAAACTCTATTTTGTGGGGATTTCAACCCTGCCACAGCTCTGTGAACACCCATATGACATGGAGATATAGATGAGGAAATAATATATGGATATATAAATGGTAATACATGAAGCAGTGAACAGAACACAAGAGAAAGAGGGAGGGAGGGGGAGGGAGAGATAGATATTAATAGATAAATATTCAAATCATAATAGGGAGCGTTCCTGGACGCGTATCATTTTGGATTTGCACAACGCCTTTGAGAGAGAGGCACAATTCTGGGGATAAGACCAATACCCTCCGACTTGCCAAGGTTGGGTCAACTTCGAAAGTAGTGTGCCTTGACTCCAGCATATGTTCAACAATGCACCGCGTTGGCGAATCAATTTAGTCCAAGGGAAAACCCTTCTGAATCTACTTGATTCAGCATTGAATTGTGTTGTTTTCGTTCCTTTCTTTCAATACGGTTCACTAGGCCAGCAAACAGGGTTATTATCATCCCATATCATCCCTACCTAAACTGGAGCAATTTGGACGAACGGGTCAACAAAGAATTCTGAGAGTTCAGACGGTGCTGGTCTGAGATTCCACTAGCATTTTCTGCACAAACCATGCTGGGTGACTTTCATCAAGAACATTGTCTCAGGTGTCGAACTGGCTACCCAGCAGCTCCGAATTCAATAGGTCAGACATGGCACTGGAAACTTGGTTGCAGATTGCTGCCCCCTCCCAGCCTGGGGTTGGGCCCATGGCAACCATCGTGAACCCCCAAGGTGCCATACCAACCTGTGGCCAATGGTGCAGATGCCAAGGTTCAACAGCTGGGCTGTGGCAGTGGGTCATGTCTTTGGGATTGTCCAGCAGCCCCCCATCGTAGGCGGCCGCGGAGCGGGCGGCAAGCAGTTCCAAGCAGCTGCTCAGAGCCTTGCACGAGTTGAGGCGAGTCGATTCAATCCTCGAGGGATGTGGCTGGGCAGATGGGGAACCATGGGGTGAGCTGCTGAACAATTGGAGGGGTATAGGATGCCTGGGGGATGATCTTAGAAGTCTTGAGATGACGAGATATGCATGCAATGTGTGGAATTTCACAGCAATCAAGGCTTCTTCTTGAAGCTTGTCCTTGGGGGGGAATACTTGGGAGGTGGAACCTCCCTTTCCTATCCTTTTCTGCACTTGATTCAATGTTTGGGCTTGTAACTGCGGGCACCTGAGCCCGCTATCTGCCCATATCTGCCCTATCTGAGGCTATGTCTTTTGGGCCAACATGGATGGCACAGTCGGGAACCTAAATGTGCACAGTCGGCTTCTCCTGTTTTCGTTGCAATAGAAATGATGAACTTTTCCATAACTTTCCTATGGTTATTCTGTTTCACTGTCATGTTAATGTTTACCCAAACTCTGCCCGTGAGGTCGGCCAAAGTTATGATTTGAAAGTTGCTATAGTTGAACTTGCTGTCATGTCATATCATGTCAAATCCGTTTGTTTTGCACAGCCACGGTAGCCTTCACGTTTTTACCGTAGCCATAGGTGCAGAAACTGGGTCAGATGAAGGTGCAGCTGCGAGGGGTCTTCAAGGGCCCCGGCTTGATATATTTTGTTTACATCATGTTTGATAGATTGGGTCATTGCATGTCATTACTGGTTGGTGGTTTGGAACATTTTTTATTGTACCATATAGTGGGAATGTCATCATCCCAACTGACTTTCATATTTTTCAGAGGGGTTGAAACCACCAAGCAGATTACCCACCTCATATCGGAAAAGTTGTTTTTTTTCATCTAGATCATTGGAAATTGATGGAACTTGGATCATTCGAGTCGAGTCACTGGCACAGGAGCATGCCGAGCGCATGGTGTCCTTTGCGTCCAGAACACCCAAGATCAAGGAGCGGTTTGGACAACGATTGAAGGAGTCACTGGGCGAAAGTCATGGATGGCAGCAGTTGGTTGGTGGCACACGACGGGTTTCTGCTGTAGGTGGTTGCTGTCCTGTCTGGGTCTATGTTGTGAGGGCAGACATGGTGTTCCAGCTGTTTTTAGCTCATTTTGTGTCCCATTTGCTCCTGAGGTACGGCATGTTTTGGTCGGACTTGGAACAGCTCTGCAGGAAATACAGTTCAGATCATCATGCTGCCTGGCCTGGATGACCACCTTTGAAACCTGGTTGGACACAACTGATTAAGATGATTAAGAAGGCTTAGAATCCATAATATTTGCATACAGCTATCTATATGGCAGTTGTTGTCTTTTTTTGGCCTAGATGGGTCATATCTAGACTTGTACATTTATAAAATTTTATAAAACCGTGTGCTTTTTGCAGAAGTTGGAAGGTAAAGTCCGTAGTTTCAGCCTAGCAGTCAAAGCTCTACTATGGCCCCTGTGGCCTTTACTAAACCGGCTACTTCTTTGCCCCTGATTCGTTTCCTCTTTCACATGGACCTTCAGAGCCTTCCTTCATCCAAAACCCTGTTGAAAAATGTTGAAAGATGGATTACCAAGAGAAAATTGTGTTGTTTTGTTAACTGTGTTTTGTAGTGTTATTTTTTAGTATTTTTAATGATGTTTCCTGTGCGCTGCATTTTGACCCAATTGCATCCACTTTGGAATCACTTGATGTCGGTAGTAAGAGCCATCGTTATGGTGAACATAGCCAAAGATAGAAGATCCCAATGGAGGCTTCCTCAGCAATTTGCGTTTGCCCAGAACTGGAATAGCACCGAATTTATAAACCCCGTTTGATTAAAAATTGGATGGTTCCCCAAAACAGTGCTCACTGACGACTAAAAATGGTCCCCCCAATTAAGCAGCCGAAGGTTTATTTATCCAGGGTTAATGAGAGTATCTCAAAGTGGTGTATAAAATGATGATAAACCATAGGATTCGGATGGTTTTCCTCCTAAATGTTCAGAGAAACCCAGAACTACAACTACTGGTTCTATGTATATATATATATACATATTATAATATTATAATATATTATACCCATATATACCCATTACATTTCATCAAACATCCCTCTGGTTGGTTTTATACCCCCATAACTTTGTGCTGCCAAGGCTGCCTCCGCAAAGATGAGAGAAGTGGTTCGAGCAGCTGAGATGTCCTAAGCGTTTGTTTTTTTTTGGGGGGGCCTCTTGTTATCGGAGCATATTCTGGTTGGGGGTTTCAAATCACGAAAGCTAGCGTCAGCTAGCTGGAGTCTTCTTGCTTTAGCAAGTATTGGGGGGGCTGCTCAAGGACATCACGTGATTTTTCACGCGAAAGGGGGCCCCCCCCCTCCCCCACCACCACCACCATCACCACCATCATCATCATCATCATCGTCATCATCATCGTCATCATCATCGTCATCATCATCGTCATCATCATCGTCATCGTCCTCTCCATCGTCCTCGTCCTCGTCCGCGTCCTCGTCGTCATCATCATCATCATCATCGTCGTCCTCGTCATCGTCCTCGTCATCGTCATCGTCATCATCATCATCATCATCAGCATCCTCGTCATCATCATCGTCATCATCATCGTCATCATCATCGTCATCGTCCTCTCCATCGTCCTCGTCCTCGTCCGCGCCCTCGTCATCATCATCATCATCATCATCATCATCATCATCATCATCATCATCATCATCATTCATCATTCATCATGTTCATCATTCATCATTCATCATCATCATCATCATCATCGTTATTCAATTACATTTTATCATTATTGGCAATTATTGTCATTATCACGAAAGCTAGCGTCAGCTCGCTAGAGTCTTCTTGCTTTAGCACGTATTCCGGGGCTCCCCAAGGACATCACGTGATTTTTCCCGCGAAAGGGCCCCCCCTGCCCCCTCCCCCATATATATCATTGTTATATATCATATATCAATATATCATTGTTGCATCCTCGTTGGGACGAACAATGCCGCGACACGATGATGACAGTCCCTCCGCAACTCACCTCTTCCCTTCCTTCTTTCTCCTACCCCGCTAGCTTTCGTCATCCACCCCCGGCCTCAAGTATTAATTGTTGTCTATCAATGCTTGGGATGATTGAGATGAGATGGCGCACATATTTTTGGGACGGGTTAGCACATTTTAGGACCACCAACCAGTATCCTGGGTGTGAGCGAAATGTTGAAGTCCCAAAACCATTTTAGATTGACGAACTAGACTCCTATGAAACCATCCCATATTGTTGGACGCCAGAGCACCAGAATGGGATGGCGTCATAGAAGTTTCATCCGTCGCTGACAAGTTTATCCAAAGATTGGTCCAGCTGAATGTGGGAGGGAAGACTTGTTTCACATATATAGACTTGTGAAGCCAGTCCATTGATCATCAGAAAATCCCAATGTTTGGAGGTGAAATCCTGATTTTTGATGGTTAAATCCACCATAAATCCATGGATCGGCCAAGGAGGTGTCCTTTGCTGCTGACATCCGCGACACACATCAGAGCGTTGATGCTGGCGTGCGTGCCGCCCAGAGATCAGGACCAAAAATCACCTGGTGAAGATGATTCGGCACTTGTAAGTCTGGTAATCCCGAAGATGGGGAAGGTGATTCCAGATTTGGAAGATATGGAAGATATGGAATATATATATATATATTATATGTGAATGTATCAATGATCCCAGTCATTGTCCATGCTTTACACAATCCTCGTGATGCCATTCAGGTCCTAGGTAATTCCAACAGGTCAACCAACCGGGTATTTCGTAGTTGCTTTTGGCTTAGGCAAGCCAGTAGGTGGGTGGAAGTGGGATTTAGCAACCTTGAGAGCCATAGACTGTGGACAGTCGCTACACTGTGTCGTGGCCGACACTTTTGGTTTTGGTGCGGACTCCATTTCAAGACCTTACTGGCTTCACGTGCCGTTTTGCAGCAACCGCGACTTCAGCTGGCCATTGAAAAAGGTGGCGACCGCATTGCTGAGGTGGGAACTGAAGCTACCAGTGTGGATCCAATCACACTGGTAGCGGAGCTACCAACAAAGCTCCGGGGAAACCTTTTGACATCCAGTGCCTGGTGAAATGTCCCAGAATGGAGGTGACTCTACCGAGGGAAACACTGCAACCTCAACTCAGATGGCGATGCTAGTTCCAAGTTTTGACCCGTCGAAGGACGACCTTGAGCAGTACACACAGAAAGTCGAGCTCCTGAGCGAGATTTGGCCTGCAACAAAGATGAATGAATTGATAACCCGACTCATTCTGAACACGTCAGGAAGTGCATTTCAGAAGCTTCAATTGAACCGCAGCAAACTGATGACTGGGGATAAGACAGGTATTGAACTGCTTGTTGCAACCCTAGGGGGTCAGTGGGGAAAGGTGAATTTGGAGAAGACCTATGAGATTGTGGAGAAAGCTTTGTACAAATGCATTCAACGACAAGATGAAACCAATGACTCCTTCCTTGCTCGTTGTGACGTGGTTTGGTCCGAGTTGAAGGCAAAGAAGATCGATTTAGACCAGGTTCAGGCGTACATTGTCCTTAGGGGTTCACTGCTGAGCTCGGAAGACAAGAAGCGTGTCATCCTTGAAAGTGAATCTGCAACAACAGGTGACCTGACCATCGAGAAGGTGAGTCAGTCAGTCAGAATGCTTGGAACGAATTTCTTTCATGACATGATCGGAGTGAAGAGAACCAAGGGAAAGATTTATGACCAACAAGCCCTGTTGAGTGAGGATGTAGCTGGTGATGAGTTTGAAAACACTGCACTTGTAGCCGATGAGATGTGTGAAGATGAGTTCATCGAACAGCTGATTCAGGATGCTGATGAAGATGCCATGTTGATCCATGACTATGAGGCTGCAGCAACAGATGCACTCCAGTCCGATGAAGATCTAGCTGCAGCATATGTTTCATATAGTGAAGCTCGTAAGCGATTGTCAGACCGTTTCAAAAACAGAGGCCTCTGGCCCATTGGAGCCGGAAAAGGAAAGTCAAAGTTTTCTGGATCCCCAAAGGGGAAAGGTCGTGCTTTCAATCGTGGACCCAGAAAGAGTCTTCAACAGCGCATCATGGAAAGCACCTGCAGAAACTGTGGCCGAAAGGGACATTGGAGAGCCGAATGTCTTGACAGAGCAAAGAGTGCAGGAACAACCGGATCCACCAGCACATCGGCAGCAATGACCGCCGAAGCCGTTTCCTTCGATGGTGAGCCCAATGCCTTACCGATGGAGTTCATCCAATTACCTGTGGTACATGAAATGTCACTTGATGCGCCTAGTTTGCATGAAATTAACACTGTTAGCTTCGTTTCCCATGAAACTCGGGAACGTATCCGTAAAAGGGGTAATAAACATAATCTTGGGGTAAAGAACATGATCAGCAGCCGCTGCCAGTCGCGTCCCAGGAATGAATTACCCGTTGTGAAACCTGTGATGATGCAGCCGTTCCGTGAAGCCAGTGACACCGAAGTAGCCTTTTTCACCGCCCATGGCACCTATGGTATTTTAGACACAGGTGCCACAAAGTCTGTTGTAGGGAGCAGCCATTTGCCAGCTTTGATCGAGAGTTTTCCGGCCAGTGTCCAGAAGCAGTTGCGCAGGACAACCTGTGAAATCACTTTCAGGTTTGGGAACCAAGGAACGTTGGACAGCCAGCATGCACTTGTGATTCCCCTCAATGCAATTGGTTTGGGATTAAAAGTAGCTATTGTTCCAGGCGCGACACCACTGCTTCTTTCAAACACATTGGTAAGAACTCTCAAAGCTAGCATTAATAGTGCCCAGCAGGTCTTGACCAGTCCGATGTTCAATCGTCCAGTCCCACTGAAGTTAAGTCCTAGGGGTTTGTACTTACTTGATATCAATGACTTGATTCAAGCACAACAAGGACAGCACAGTGGCCAAGAAAGACCTGCTGCCGAAACCTTCCACAGCAGCGATTCTCCTGAGTGCCAAAATGCCAGCAGCAGTGCCAGGAATCCAGAGATGTCCACCCAGTCAACAGCCGATGCCATGCCACACGTGAAAGACATGCCAGACAGCCATGAGAACATATCCACTTCCACCATTAAGTTGAACACACCCACACATGCCCATGACAGTCAGAACATTCATGAAACATGTCGGAACACACAGTCCAAAATCGAGGACATCACGCTGGAGAGTTCAAGGCCCAAGTCACTGCCAGCCGAGTTCCTTCAGGTGGTTAGATCAACTCACGATCGTTGCAATGAGTCTCGCAAGTCGCCTGGACCGTGTGCTGTCCCAGGGCAGCCCAGAAAGTGTGGAGTCCTTCCGCACACTGACAGTTGTCGAGATGGGAGAAACCAAGATCACTTTCGGTCGAGCTCATGTAGGCCGAACGTACGAGGAAATGTGGCGTTCGGAAAAGGGGTGGATCCGATGGTTTGCCAAGACGTATGCTTCCAGCCAAAAGGAAGAACACCAGAAGCTCTTGATCTACATCGATGCCATGGTGAACCAGCACGAGACCCTCTACGACATGAATCCGGTGACAGCCCCGGAGACCAACCAAGAAGTGATCCGTCCACGCCCCAAAGGACAGCCCAAGAGCAAGGCAGCAGCCAATCCTGCCCAGGTGATGTCAATGACCAGCGAGAGCGTCGAGGAAGGGGAGCTCTGGGATCCATGGGATGTCATGTACCACGATGTCCCGACAGCCGCAATGATCAGCCCACAGCAAGAGATGATCGATGCACTGCAGAGCCGAGTCCTCAACGTGGAGAACGCACTCACCGAGATTCTGAACCATGTGCGGCAGACCCATCAAGTAGCCCCCTAGATCACATCCTGAATGCCGGAGACTGGGAATATGATTTTGATCCTGACCACAATCATCAACACAACATAAATGCCATACAGTCCAAGTTCAACAACCTTGTTTCTCAGTTCACTGCTGAACTCAATGAAGTATCCACATGGGACAGTCTCCGACACCAACCGCGTTTGCAAGTGCTTGAGGTGTTTTGCAGCTCCGAAAGTGAACTGACCAGGCAGGTCAATCAGCTAGGATACCGTGCCAGCCGTCACGGGATTCAAGAAGGTGATTTGAATAGTAAGGGAGGGCGCCAACAGTTGTTCAAAACCCTCCTCGAATCAAGACCTCAACATGTTTGGTTCAGCCCCACTTGCGGACCATGGTGTGCCTGGAGCTTTCTAAACGAATCCCAAAGTACTGCCGGTTTTCAGCACGTTCAGGAGCAACGTGAACAGCACCTGTATCAATTGGCTCTCGGACTTGTACTGTACAGATTCCAATGCATTCACCAGCGACATTTGCATTGGGAACAGCCAGCCCGATCCCTGATGCTGAAGACTCCATACTTGTATGAGGTGGCACAAGGGACTTACAAAGCCAATTTTGATATGTGTCAAGTCGGTGGCATGAGAGATCCCCAGAATCAAAAACTTTTCAAGAAAGGCATGGAGATTCATACTACTTCACAACAACTATACCTTCAGTTCAACGGAAGAAAGTGTAACAAACAACATGACCACCAACCACTTGAAGGGAATACCATCCACAAAGGAGTGAGCATCCGAAGAACTGCCTTCTCCGAAAACTATACCCGAAAGTTTGCCAGAAGTCTTGCTCAGGTGTTAACCAAGGTGAAGAACATGAAGGAAATGCCAATCATGTGCTGGGAGTCGACAGCTTTTGCCATGCAGGGATTCAAGCGTTCGTTCAATGCCCAACCAGGTGCCTCAGCCAAGCGTGCAAAACTGCAGAATAGTAGCTTGATTGAGCCACAGGAAATGCCAACCAAGAGAAGGAGAATCCAAGGGAAATCCCAAGAACTTGAGAGCAGCCCAGCCTTATGTGACCGGATTTGCCAAAATGTAACATCAATAGCACCCAGGGTTGGCCGGAAAATAATACATGACCCCAAAATTCTTCAGGATATCCAAGAGCTGTTTCCGGAGAAATTGGTGATCACCGTGTTGGTTTGCAAGGGAACTGAGAGGACTGTCCAACCCCCGAAAGACATGATCCCAAGCGAAGCACCATATCGTAGGGCCATCATCATGCAGAGACAGACAAAGAAAATCCTTGTTGAAGATCAATGGGAGCACTGGGAATTTCTGTCAGCTCGACAACAGTGGCGGCGTTCTCACCCAAGCTACATGAATATAACAGTTTTTGCACGCAATCATCCAACTGCGGAAGAAGCAGCTTCCGTGCCAAGCTTGCCAGCGAGAACCGAAATTCATGAGCCAGCACCGGCATCCGAATCCCATGAGACTCCGGATGAGCCTCTCCATGTTCCAATGATGCCAATGCCAAGTCCAGATTCATCCGAGGAAAACATGACACCCATGTCAATAGATGAAAGCAGTCAAGATCACGGCCCAAAGTTCTTAGAAATGTCCACCGAAAATAAGAAACTAGCGTTGCGACTCCATAAGAACCTGGGCCATCCAGAACCCCGAAGACTTAGCCAAGTCCTTCAGCAGCGGGGTTATGATCAATCGCTAGTGCAGGGTGTCCTGGACTTGAGGTGCTCGGTATGCCAAATGCAGAAAAAGCCAAAGATTCCCCGACCGGCCTCACTGAAGCAGGAACTGGGTTTTGGAGACAAAGTATCCATGGATGGAGTAAAGTGGACAAACAAACAAGGTCAAGAGTTTCACTTTTACCATTTCATTGATCATGGCACAAACTACCACACCGCTATCATAGCACCAAACAGAGCCGAAATTCAGGAAAAGTTCACCATGGGATGGCTCAATTGGGCAGGGCCACCAAACACGGTACTCATGGATTCTGCAAGAGAGTTCGTTTCAGAAAGTTTTGTGCAATTTCTCCAAAACATGAACATACAATGTGAGGTTGTTCCACCAGATGCTCATTGGCAATGCGGCCGAGTTGAACGACATGGTGGGGTTCTCCAAAACATGTTGTCGAAGTTTGAACTAGAACATGATGTCAGCAATTACCAAAAGTTCCAGCAAGCCCTAACACAGTGCACTATGGCCAAGAATTCATGTAGCCTTCGCCACGGGTATGCACCCGACACCCTGGTTTTTGGACGTGGTCTAAAGATCCCTGCCTCAATCACAAGTGATGACTCGTTGCCTGCACACGCCATTGCTGAAAGTGAGACAAATGCCGGCTTGAGGTTCTGAGAGCTGTTGGCCATGCGTGAAACCGCGCGAAGGGCCTTCCATGCAGCGGACAACGATATGGCTCTGAGAAGAGCTGCTCTCAGAAGGGACAGACCACACCGTGGAGCCTATGAATCAGGAGAATGGGTGATGATATGGAAGGTAATCAACCTTAAGGGTTCATGGATAGGCCCTGCCAGGGTAATCAAACAAGACAGTAACACCACGGTGTTTTGTAACAATGCCGGCTCCATTGTCAAAGCTGCCCCAGAACATGTGAGACCAGTCAGTGCAGTCGAAGCAAGCCTGATTCCAATCAACATGCCTGACCTGCCGAACCTCGAGAACAGTCAGAGTCACAGTCCACTCCCAACTGGATCCCAACAAGAAATGCCAATAACGCAAAACCATCAGAATCACATCGAAAATCAAGGTCCCATAACTATTCCAAATAACCATCAAATAATACCATCCAGTGAAAGTACATCCGATCAGCCAGACCAAGAGCCTGAGGGCCTGCCAACAACACCCATAAACCCAGAAACCCAGAATAGTCCTCATGATAACTCCAATGGAACTCCTGAGATGCCACCCATACAGCCACATGAAATACCTGTCCCCGACGAAAGCAGTGATGAGCTGTTATGCGATCTCCTCACATGCGAGGATGTTGATGCCTTGACTGCCACTGCTCCAGATGGAGAGAACACCGTGTGGCGTGCCGAACTGGATTTCAGTGCGAGCCTCGTGGAAACAGTGTGCCAATCGACAGAGAATCCAACTGAAGAAGAACTAGTCTTCCTTGCAACCAATAGCAAAAGACAGAGAACAGAAGTGAAATTGAACACACTGGAACCTGAGGAGAGGCTGGAATTCGAAAAGGCAAAAACCAAGGAGGTTAACAATTGGCTCCAAACTGGAACGGTTGAAAGAATGTTCAGACATGAGCTTGCCCCGGAACAAATACTCCGATGTAGATGGCTTTACGTTTGGAAACCAGTTGAAGACCCCAAGGAACAAAAGGAACTGAGAGGGAAGTCCAGAAAAGCAAAAGCCAGGCTTGTTGTTTTGGGTTACATGGACCCTCAACTGGACACCATACCGCGGGATAGTCCAACACTTGGTAGAACGTCCAAAATGTTCATAGCTCAAGTCATAGCGTCAATGCAGTGGTCACTCATGTCTTTTGACATAAAGGCAGCCTTCCTTCAGGGAAAAACCCAAGAAGGGAGAGTGATAGCAATTGAACCCGTGCCCGAAATGATGAGGGCAATGAATCTTGAGAAAACGGAAGTTTGCCGATTGGTAAAGTCTGCTTATGGCCTCATTGATGCACCATTCCTATGGTTCACTGAGTTAGATAAGACCTTGAAGGAAATTGGTTTCATCTCTTCACCGTTTGATCCCTGTCTGTACCTCCTACATGAAAAAGGCAAAAAGGAGCCAGCAGGAATCTTGGGTATCCATGTTGACGATGGATTGTGCGGAGGCAATGAGTTCTTTCACCAGCAAATCCGAAAACTTGAACAGAAGTTCCCATTTGGATCCCGAAAGTCCCAAAAGTTTGTGTTCACGGGAATTGAGATGACCCAAGAAAATGACTACAGTATAACCATGTCTCAAGAAAATTACATCTCACGCATAAACCCAATCCACATTCAACCAACCAGAAAAGCCAATGTTGACCTTGCCGTCACGGAGAGAGAGAGACAGGATCTCAGAGCATTGATTGGATCACTGCAGTACGCATCAGTAAATACAAGACCAGACCTGGCAAGTAGGCTGAGCTTTCTCCAGAGTGCAATCAACAACGCAACAATTGACACCCTCATTCATGGAAACAAAGTCCTTCACGAAGCCAAATGCCATAAGACCACTTGTGTAAGAATCCAGCCAATTCCCATGGACAAAATTAGATTCCTAGCGTTTTCAGATGCATCGTTTGCCTCGAAGAAACAACCAGAGTCTCACACTGGCACCATAATCATGACGACACATGAGGACATTGGAAAGAACCATGTTTGCCCAGTCAATCCCATCAGCTGGGGGTGTAAAAAGATCCAAAGAGTTGTGACAAGCACACTCGCTGCAGAGACGACGTCGCTGAGTTCAACGCTGGATCAACTGTCATGGTTGAGACTGTTCTGGAGCTGGATCAAAGATCCTCTGACCGACTGGCGAAAGCCCACAGAAACTCTCAAAGAATTACCACCAACATATGCCACTGCTACACTCAAAGAAGACCCATCAATAGCAGTTACCGATTGCAAATCACTGTTCGACCTTGTGACACGTACAGCCACGCCATCATGCTCAGAGTTCAGAACCCAACTCCAGGCTCATGCAATAAAGGACTTCCTTGCGGAAGGAGTTAGATTGCGATGGGTTCACAGCGGGGCACAGTTAGCAGATGCACTGACAAAAATCATGGAATGCCACTTCTTGCGTGAAACACTTTTCCATGGAAAATACTGTTTGCACGATGAATCCCAGATTCTTAAAGAAAGAGCATCCACAAAAACCAGAGTAAAATGGCTTCAATCCACGGAAGATCAAAATGACATCACAAAAAGTGAAAACTAAATTTTCTGTTGGGAGTGTGAATGTATCAATGATCCCAGTCATTGTCCATGCTTTACACAATCCTCGTGATGCCATTCAGGTCCTAGGTAATTCCAACAGGTCAACCAACCGGGTATTTCGTAGTTGCTTTTGGCTTAGGCAAGCCAGTAGGTGGGTGGAAGTGGGATTTAGCAACCTTGAGAGCCATAGACTGTGGACAGTCGCTACACTGTGTCGTGGCCGACACTTTTGGTTTTGGTGCGGACTCCATTTCAAGACCTTACTGGCTTCACGTGCCGTTTTGCAGCAACCGCGACTTCAGCTGGCCATTGAAAAAGGTGGCGACCGCATTGCTGAGGTGGGAACTGAAGCTACCAGTGTGGATCCAATCACAATTATATATTATATATATATGATTTTGCCGCCTCATATGTTTCCATGGTTTTCCCGGGGTACTTTTCCCATTTGTGCCATTCAAAATACCTTGGTTGATGGCTTAATAGGGGGTTCTACTTATCGGTTTACTGGGGATTAGTATAATCCATATAGGAATATTTACTAACCAAACCAGTAGAATTAGGGCTTTCATGGTTTTCGACCAGCTACAAAGCCCACGGCTTCGTCACGTTCCAGGAGCCTTCGCTGCCGAGGCTTCCGCCTCGCCCTCGGGCGACGTGGTCGCCAGCGATTTTCCCAGCGGCTGACCCGGCGGCGTGGCAAGGTAAACGCGACGCAGGCGGGGGGAGCCCCTGGGGCTGGTCATGATGGATTCACGAACACCCTAGGGGTTTATAGGATGTAACGGGTTGTAATTATAGGATATTATAGGGATGTATGGAAGATTATATATAAGATTTATAGCCATATTGAATGGGATTTATAGGGATTTATGATCGTTTATAGGGATGACAGGATCGGGAGATAATGACCATAATGGGATTTATAGGGACTGATAATGACCATTAAAAATAATCATAGCCCCATTAGCCAGGGGGGTTCGGAAAAATGGGGCATCCCCAAAACCAGAGGTTTCAATACTAAAATGGTCATCCATGACTTGGATGATTTGGGGTCACCCCCATTTGAGGAAACCTCAATAGGGATTCGGATTCATAGGGAAATATATATATATACACAGTATATTACAGTAATTATACAGTTTGGATGAAAACGGGAATTGTGATATAACTGTTTTTTTCTTAGTGGGATAGATTCCAATGATCTCAATGTGATGTCGGAATGATGGGCATTGCATTCGAGGAACCATCCCCAAATGGCACAAATGGCGCCGGACCGCTGTTTTCACCCAGACTCTGTGTTGATGTTTAGTGGAAACCTGTACATGTATCCTGTCTTGGCATTTTTTCCCATTTGCAAAATGTCAGAAACATGTGAATATGATTGAATGTTTGTGTTCATGCTGCTTTGCCAGAACTTTGCCATACTTATATATGATTATATGGAAATCCACCATTTATAGTTGTTGTTCGCATTTAAAACCTTAATTTATGGGTAATTTTCCAGCTAGCCATGTTTGATTGCCGGAGGGTATCTTTGAAGCACACGCATCTTGGCCTTGGGCCATCCAGGTACTGAGCTACAGACGTGTGAAATACGTCGTTTCGCAGATGTGGGTGCTGCTCGAAACATGCTGAAATGTGACATCTACTATAGTTAATATAGTACAATCAGTCCACTAAAGTCCACTAATATCCGCCAATCAAGATTCTTCGCCCCGAACCATCGAAAAAACATGTTTGTTTTCCTGTTTAGATTGCTGGAAGTATGTAACATGCCGGTGCTAGACTCGGAGAAACCAGGGGCACAGTGCACCAAACGCAAGATTGGACTTCGCAACGAAGAATCAACGCCGATGCGATTGTGTAGTTTCACATACAGTTGGGGCATCACAGGAAGTCTTGATTGTTGGCATACCGCGAAGTGTTGCGGCCGAAAAAGTTCGATCTTGCGGCTTTGCTGTTCCGACTTCTCCACCGCGGCAGTGGATCCCGGTGGGGGCCTGTTGGATGCTGGAGTCCTGGAAAGTCCGTGGTGCGAGTTGACCACGTTAGTCGTCCTCGGTTGACTCTCTAGGACTCCAGCATCCTGATGCAAATGACCTGGAGGGGGAGAGCATCAACTGGTTGGGTTGATACCAAGTTGTGACTACTGAGTAGCAACTGTTGGTAGATCGACTGGTTCAAATTTCAATGTGCTTATAGCACATAGTCTCACATAGTTGCATTTAGTAGTGCATGGTTGCAGGTTCATCATCTCAAGTCATCGTAACAGATTCTGCGCGAGCTTGGTGGCCAACCGAAAAAAACGGCTTGTGGAGAGCAGACCTGGTGGGGTGTTAGTATCGAGTCCAGTATTCAACCATTTTGGTGATTTCTTCATTATGATCCACTAGAATTACTAGAAGACACCAGAAGGGTTTGTCTCAGTCTCTGGCCCAGTCTCTCTCCTTCCGATGTCTCCAGTGTAGTACTCCCCTCTGTGGGAGACTTGATGCGACTAGAGCTAAGACGCACCAAGCAGTTTCTGAAGGCAGCAGGAAGTTGCTGAAGAGTTTCAGCTGTGTTACGGTTCCCATCGATCAGAGCTTCAATCAGGGTATGGGATGGCATGGGAATGTATGGGATAGAGTTCGGAGAAGCATGAACAAAGCAACAACCCTACCTTTGACACAAGCAAGTCATTCGCATGGCAGATGGCACAGATAGAGCATGAAGAATCCAAGTGGACACGGCCAACTAAGCAACACTTCCAGAATTGGTTTAAGAGAAGATTTACAGAAAGACCATGGAAGACTCCGTATTTGGTGCTTAAAACATGTTCAAACCATGATTTCCTCTGGACGTTCCTTCACACCACATTGAGAACCGGCCTGATATCCAAAGATTCTAAAGATCCTGGGCCTTTGGAAGCGAACGACTTGCTGCGCGGAACATCCAGACGTGGACGCCTTTCATGAGCCCTGGGTCATCGCGGGTCCACCGATCCTGTAACGTTGGGGGCTGTGGGGAGAGGAGTTGATTTGATTAGGCCTGGGGTGCTTCCTGGTGCCCCAAACTGTCCAAACATGCCAAATTATATGTTTGACCCCAACACCCAGATGCCTGGGAATTCAATTGGATGTATGTAACCATCAAGAATTATTAATGAAGTCATATGAAGTCTAAAGCTTTGTTCTAGGCCTTGCGAGTGAGACCAACTACCTGCAACCCTCAAGCAATCACCAGATGCACGTGTGACAGTGACACCGCGTAGCTCCAGCAGAAATTCCGAATGGAACCCATTCAGAAATCACATTAAATCACTAGCAGCTACCAGCATACGGACTTGTCCAAAAATATCAAAAATGGAGTATACTCCAAATAACAATTTGAATGGGGAATACAGGTTGGCCCCTGACAGACACAGGCTGCCACAGGATCGTGTCCCTAGGGATAAAGTTATTGAGAAAGAAAAATATCAAAAGCCCATTTGGGAGGGGGCAGAAGTGAGTATGTTGGAGGATGGGCATGGATAGGCTGATGATAAATTTCAAATCATAGACCTATTTCCACATCAAAATATGCAACAAAAGATTCAGTCAGCTCTGCTGGGGCTTTGCCAGTCGAACCTGAAGCCGCTGGGATGTTTTTGGCGGGGCAAACAGACATGGCCGCCCGCAACTTGTTGCCTCGAAATTTAGGGGGTCCAAACACCCCACAGAGGCTGTGTGCCGCCCGGAACGGACCGGAACGTTCGCACCGCGGCGTGGGAAAAAGAACGGTTGCAGCATTTTCGGAGCTCAGTACTATCTCGCGTTGAATGAAGTTTGGTGTGGGAGCAGCATCATGATGATGATCATGATGACGACGACGCTGATGACGACGATGAGGAGGAGGAGGAGCAGGAGGAGGAGGATGAGGATGATGACGATGACGATGACGATGATGATCATGAATCATGATCATGATCAATGATCATGATCATGATGATGAGGATGAGGATGATGATGAGGATGAGGATGATGATGATGATGATGATGATGAGGATGAGGATGAGGATGAGGAGGAGGAGGAGGATGAGGATGAGGATGATGAGGATGAGGATGATGGTGATGATGATGATGATGGTGATGATGATGATGCTGGTGATGATGCTGGTGGTGATGCTGGTGGTGGAGGTGGAGGTGGAGGTGGAGCCTTGAATTTGTTTTTGTTGGCAGACTACTGATACCGCCGTTGTTTTGCCCAAGCAGGGCTAGCTTATCTTTATTTAATTTTGTGGCTCCTGCCGCCAACTGGTGCGCCAATGGTGGTCACAACAATGGCTGGAATCATTCGATGCTTCGGCTGCAATCGGTTGCAGTGGTGTAATTTGTTGAATTGATATTGCACAACCTTGCATATGTCATGTTTTTTAGGATGTAGATTGTCCACATTTTTTTGGGGGTTGGATAGGTGCTTTTGTGCCTGATTTGTTGGTGAGCCCAGACAGTAGCAGGCCACGCCAACATGGCTAGCCAATGCATGACGGCTGAATCTAAGGAAGTTTGATGATCGCGGCTGCCAGATATTTGCAGTAGCAAGTTTTTCCCCCCTTCCAGTTGAGGATATTGAGGGCCTCATCACAGTGAGTCAAGGTCCCACTTCAGAGTGTTGGCGTACACTGTAAGGTTCTAGATGTAGACATTGTTGGCCAGCCAATTCCCATTATCATGCTGGGGGGCTAGCACGTTTGCCTGCGAATGGCCTGCTGACCAAACCTAAAAACAGCGTTAGATCATTCTCTCAACATTTGAAGCCATTCTTGTTTGGAATTTACATGCGTTCCATTTACGGAGGCATTTGGGTTTTGCCACAAATGTCATGACAGGTATTCCAAAATCGACTGATATTTTCAGGTTTATCATCAGTTTATATCAGTTTCCCTTTTTTCATGGTCATTATATTGAAGTTACTATCCCCCCAACCTAGAACCCACCAAATAGGGAGTTGTGGCAAACTCCCCTTGTTTGATACTCAAATCATATAAAATCATATAAGATCCCAATTTTGAATGCTGAAATCACCATGTTTGTTGCTTAAATCGGGTCCCAAAAAGATTTTAAACTGTGTCCGCAATGTTATAGCTGATGTTTCCCTCAGAATTTCCTAAGCCATGGGGGTACCCCCTTGCATCATCCAGTCATGACCATGACGACCAGTATAGCAGCCATGGTGACTGGGGATCCTCCATGACTTGACCCAGGCCTTTGCCACAGCTGAAGCTAACAGCTGGACCTTCCTTGGCTCAGCGCCATGGAGTGGACGCGACCGTGCAGCGGCCGCGGTCTTGGGAGGACGTGTCTTCATGGCCGGTGGCTGCCTGGTGGCATCGTAGATTGGGAGTTTACGAATCCAAAAATGGGGGAAGTAGTTTATTATATATAATATTATATAATATTATATAATTATATCATATATCACAAAACATTCGCTAACATTTGGCTGTTGGTTTGACATATACATTGGACGGTGCCATTTGCGATGATGACCGCGGATGACGAGCAGATTTTCTCTTGGGGCTTTCACCAGATCTTTCCAGCGATAGACCTCCATGATCCGAGGCAAAAATCACGGGAAATCCGTGTGATGTTGTGCAAATAGTTACTATATAATGACTGGATATGACTGGCTCAGATGCAGTGAATGTTCTGCTTTTGAGGGCATGTGCTTCTAGAATGTTATACTATGCACAATATTCACGGATATATAATGATATATGATATATATATATATATATGTGTGTGTGTCTCTGTACACAGGCGGGAATTGATAAATATAGAATGATATACAGTATATATATATACACATACATATATATATACATATAGATACATATACTACTAATATACTCGATGCACAGATGTGGGTAAACCTACGGGACAGCACTGCGCTCTGAGGTTATGACTATCACAAGCACCTGCCCCCTGACGTGCGGTTCAGAAGTCCGGGGGTCCATTAAAAATACATAGCCATGTCAGGGGGTTAACAAATAGGGTGTTAGTAACCTCACTGCTTTAATCATTGGGCATTATGACATAAGCCATTTTATAAGGATACCGCCAGAATACCTATTACCAAGAAGCAGTTCATGTGATGTCATAGGGTTGCCTGAAGCTAGGATCATTCGAGAATTACGCCCCAAAAGAATGCCCCACCATTTGCTGTTGCTGCTGTGCCCGTCAAAAATTACCCTGTTCGGTTGACAGGTCATTCTGTAGGTTCACGTGTTTACCTGCAAATAGGACCCAAATGAATAGGCTCACTACACAATTTTCTTGGTGAGAACAGACCAACTTGGTACTTTTGGGTGGTTTCCATTCCAACCTCCAAGCCCAGGAATGATGTTTGGTCATCAGAGGCAGGCTTGACCAGTCAGATGTGTTCCGCATTGGGTTCCAGACGTGTCAGTGTTGGTCAATTCATACACTGAAAAAATGTATGCACATCCCTTTGGTACACAAACATAACCCCGGAAAATCACAATTGTTAATGGCTAAATGAACTATAAATGGTTATTTTCAATGGCCATGTTGGTTTACCAGTATTGGTGAGATGCTTGATGCTGGCGAATACGACAAATGAGCCAGGCTCCAGGCTCTAGGTTTGGGTGCCCAGATTCCCCATAGCCCGATGGTAAATGGACCTTGAAACAGCCTTTTTGGCAAGCGCCAAATAGAAAAGCTGCAAACCTGGAAATTATAAGGGAAACATTAGGGTTACCCTCTGGTAAACTAACATAGCTATTGAAAATGGCCATTTATAGTGAGTTTTCCCATTAAAAATTGTGATTTTCCATTGCTATGTTAGTTTACCAGAGGGTAGTTACTATAAAACGTGTTGAAGTCGCATGAAGTCGCTGCCGCAGCCTTTTCCAGGATGGAATCACTTGGCAGCAAGTTTCTGACCACGCCAGCTGGACAGCGAGATCGGGCCATGCCGTGGTCGCCTTCAATGAACAGATCTGGGTTTTGGCGGGTGAGAATAGTCCCATTGGTGACTTGGCAGCAGCTGTGGTCAGCTGTGTTTCCCTTCCAAAGAAACCTCCTGCAATGACAACCGGGCGAGCTGCAACACTCCAAGCACTGCATTTATTTGTGGCTACAAGCAAGGCGCTCTAGTTTTATCCATTGCGTAGAGTTCATGACCAAGACTGCCAGAGGTTTTGCACTTAGCTTGTTTCTTCATATTTCTTCCACTAGAGCCCTTGGGTAGCACAGCTTTAGTCAGGCATGCTCTGGGGAACTTTGCTGCAACCATGCATGTGTATATCAGTTGCCGGCTTGATTTTGGATGACGCGTGGGCCATTTCAACCCACCTTCAGGCCACAAAATACGGGGGGAAACTTTGATTTTTGGAAGTTGCCCACATTCCCAGTCGCCTGTCTTGTCTTGTTTTGGTGTCAACGTCACAATCGTGGCAAGTTCCTTTGTCAATTCGCCCCACGAATTGCCCTTGTTAGGCTTAGTAGATGTTAGTAGGGGTTGTTGGTGGTCAGCAGGACCTTACCCTTATTATGGCGTGGGTCATCCGGGTCACCTTGGGTCACCTTGAGGAGAGCTGGTTGAATTCCCATTGAGGTCAAAGCATTTATTTCAACGACGTTTGGGCCTCACGAGATGGCCGGCAATGGGAGCAGCTCAGCGGAAGCGCTCCGTGGTGCAAGCGGACCAGCGCAGCAGCTGCCGCGTTCAACTCACAGGTCTTTGCCTCCCGACATTGAGAGATGGTTCCAGGCTTGGGGCTGCAGTTGGGGTTAAACGTGTATCGCCATTGGGATAAACCTCTGAGATCAAGTTGGGATACATCCCTATAATTATGGTCAGTTATAGGGTCACAGTGCATTCATGGTGTATCCTCGCCCATGGGATGTTTTGCGGAGTGGCCTGTTCAGCAACCCTTTGCAGCTGAGGTGCTGGGTGGAGTCTCTGAGTCAAACACCTACTTGAACGATGTTTGGTCAACGGCCGAAGCTTTGCTGATTTCATGGGCTCAGTTGCTACATCCAGGGCTCCAGCTCTCTTCGGGATCAGTGGCCCAAGTGGTCCCTTACAACAATCAGTGAACCAGTAATCAGTGAACCAGTAATCAGTGAACCAGTGCTCAGTGCGTTGACATGTCACCAGATGATATATTGATACATGTCAGATGCGGTCGCGGTCCGCGATAGGCAAGAATGGTTCGAACAGATTTACTCATATGCATATATACAAGACACACATGTTTATATATATATAATTATATATGTGTGTGTGTGCGAAAAAACAAGAAGATATCCACATGATATCCACATATATCCACCAAGGCTCCTCAAATATGATGTTCCAGGTCTACATGCGCAGCCCTCTGGGCCTGTGTTTGCCCATGCCGATATGTTCTTCCCCTCCCAGGATGGCCGTCAGTGGAGTGAGTTGGTTTCAGCCGCACCCTGGTCAGCACGTTGGGGCTTTGGAGCTGCTGCTCTGAAGGATCGCTTAGTGATCATGGGTGGCTCGGCCCTATGGACCATTTGTGATGCCGCTGTGGTATGTGTGATGCCTTTAAAATCCAGGCTGCGGCATTTGCAGAGCAATCCTTTGATGAATGTGATGGTGATGGGGGAACCTGTTTTCAAGAGCCGAGAAATAGCCCGGTGCCCCACGCAGATTGAAGGATAATTCGGAGAAAATCACGGCTACTATCCCGACTTACCAATAGGGAAAACTGATGAAAACTGGACGTCAATCTATATTCTATGTTTGACTAAGTTGCTTCACTCAGGGTAGGTTCAAGATGGTTCTAAGATGGCTTAAGGATGTTTAAGGGTGTAAGGCTACAGCCCATCCGTCCAACAAGACGTTCTCCGACCAGACCCTATCCATTGGACGTCACTGGACGCTCAGGTGGAAACATTGATTTTGGCGCTGGGAACGTCAACGATGTGCCTTTGCAATTGCTCAGTGCAAGCTTTTTCTGGTTGTAAGGATCAGGATGCTTAAGCCATTGTATAAATTGCAAATAGCATGCCTTCGATCAGCCTCATGATCCGATATTCTCATTCAGGGAATGGGTTGGAGCAAGGAGGCTTGTCCAGAAATCGCCACGTGGCTGTGTCCAAAAATGAGGTATACCTCCGAAATTGCAATTCTTATTGCAAACATGTTTTGATTAATTAACCATTTAAGCCGTGTTGTTTTTGGGCGTCCTATTTTTGAGACAAACCGAACAGCAAGTGATATTTCCCCACTACTAGGTACTAGGGTTAAGTCCTTGCATCGTGTGTTAAGTCGTAGCGGATGAGCGTCTGCCTTGCGGAAAGGCATATTGGGGAGCATCATAGTATAACATATTGGATAAGCTATGTACGTTGTTTCTATGCTTAGATGTGTGTCTGCCATGCGTTGTTTTTTTTTCGCAACATATATGTTTGTGAGGATTGGTAAGGTTCAAATATGATAGAATAGCATGAAATAGTATGTAAAGTGATATATTCTGGTGTATCACGTTTAAACATTTTGGATGAGTCATGTATGTTGTCTTTGCTCTTGGATGAGTGTGTGCCATGCGGTGCTCTTTTTTTTCGAGGTTCTTTGTCTATCAGCATTGGCCAGGATTCAAACATGAAAGGGTAGTATACACTGCGAAAACCAACTTTAATCTGACCATGGTTCCTGCGCTCGCGTTTCCATGGTGTTTGGCATCGCAATTGCCGTTCCTAGACATCTTCAAATCATGTCTGTGACATTGGGTTTTCACTTATGAACTGTACCCAACATATCCATCGTCAACGCGCGTTTCCATTGTAACTTGTACACAGAACATATGTGCAAAACATGCCCTGGACATATACCTTTCACCGTCAGGCCATGCTAAACAGAACAACAAGGATCCTAAAACCCATTGCATTCCGTACGCGTTTCCATGGTGAAACCATAAAAATGCTATGACTTAAACGGAGCTG